GGGGATATCAGACCAAACCCTCAATGCTGCAGGGAGATGTCAATTCACATCCACCTAATAACTCCGCAGGATCAGCAGGCAAACACACATGTTCATTACCAAGTCTAATTAGGCTGGCAGACAAGTGGCATTAATCATTTTTGACTGTACCTGGGACTCAAGCCCCCCACACTCCATAATCAGAAAATTTCATGCTCTGATGAATAGTGGGGAAAATTAAGCCCACATTTAATCCTTTCACTTTCATCTTTTGATAAGACAGGAAGCAGGGAGGATAGGAAAAATGGGCTGCAGCATGGGGAGCTGAGGAGGCCTGTTTGAAAGCATTCCAGGCTCGTTCCTGGGCCCCTAACACACACATCCTCCAATAGGACCTTACCCAAGAAGACCCCAGTTAGAGTCAGGGGTAGGAGAGGGCTTGGAGTGGGGGATCCCCACAATCTTTAACAACAAAATATCCGTTTCTGTGCTTCATTTTCTTAAACTCTAAAGCCAAACACGGGCCTAAATCAAGGAAAATACACACCACACACTCAGTGCTGCTGGGTGCACAAATGCCTTCCAAATGCCCAAGATAAATAAATACAGAAGCCACCAGAACAACACAGGACAATTTCCAAGAGACCTGACATGAAGACCTTTCTCTGCTACAGGAAGTCAATGCAGCATCTGAGGGCTGTCACTCAGGTGGTTCCAGCTGTGCAGAAAGTGGGGTTGAATCCAGCCAATAGCGCAGCAGCAAGACTAGAGAGACCAGACTAGAGGCCAGGGGCGATATCAGCCATTCTCAACAAGGGTAGTCCCGGTGCCCTTCCCTGAGGGCTGCATGGCAGGGCCTTGTATTCACAGTGTCATTAAAATCTATCACAGAGTGGGGAGGTTAGAAACGAGGAGCCCCAGGCAGGGCCTCCCTTTCAACCGTGTAATTCCAATCACTTAACACTTCACAGCTCTGAATAACCCCCTTCTGGAGAGAGACTCTGACTCCAGGAACAGACAGGTGGCATTCACTGACAACGGCCACGGTACGTCTAAGCACCTCCAGGACGGTTTGAGTCAGGCTTAGGTTTCTCCAAGTGCCAGACCATCCCTTTGGTCCAGGATAGCTCCTGTAGCCACCAAAATGAGATGAAAGGTAAAAGGCCACCTCCATGTGCCTTCTACAGAAGGAACAGTAAGGGACAGAATCTGTAAGGAAAAGTCCCTGAGAACAAAGCCAAAGGGCAGCCAGTGAGTTTCTCTGGTTATTTGCTGTTGACCATTCCCTCCTAGAATGCTAGAAATGGATTCTCACGGTCACCACCGCCACCACCCCCACCCCCACCCCGAAACAGACACATGCACTCACACTACCTTTCTTTCTCTGTCTTTCCACAGATCCCCACTGGATTTCCTTCTCTATCTAAGAGCTATGATTTCTTTAATGCTAGAAATTCATATTGACCCTGAACTTCCCTGTTCACAAATCCAACATTCACCAGAGCTTGGTTACAGATCTTGAAGTAGGGTAGGCTTAGGATTAGATGAACTTTTGCTAAAAAGGTAGACAGACAATGGGAAGACTGTTTCCAAAATGCTTTCCTTACTAAAAGCCCCTTCTGCCAACATAGTTCCCATCCAGTGTCAGCCTCCTATGAAGGCAGATGTCATTCACAAGCCCACTGCCCTTCTGCTTGTTTCCAAGGGCAGGGATATTTAATAGCACAAACAAGCCACCACTCTCATCAGTCACTGCATAGTGAGACCCTGCTCTGTGCCTGGCACTCTGCTGGGTGCAAGAAACACAAAGACAAGGACCCAATGCCTTCGTGGCCCCTAAGCCAGGCACAGAAGGGTCTCCTCAGCCACAGCAGGACCTTGGATAGGAGTGACATTCCTAGAGGACACCTAATAGTCAAATTTTCTGGGATGCCTATGGCAGTCACTTCCCCACTGAGCTTAGCAACCAGGCAGAGTTTGCAAACTGTTCTTGCTGCTTAGAAAGGTAATCCTAGGAGGTGTCACGAGCCCAGACTAGTTGTTACAGCTGTTGGATGGGAGGTAACAATAATATTCATATTGAATTAAAGATTTGTATTGCATTTTGCTAGGCCCTGTTCTGAGTGCCTTATGTATATTAATCAATTTAATTCTCACATTAACATGATGAAGTAGGTAATATCATTAAAAAAAAAAAAAAAAACAAAAAAAAAACAAGGAATCAGAAGATGTCCAAAGGTCACATGGGGACTAAGCGGTAGTCAGGATTCAAACCCAGGGCTCTGGTTCCAGTCTATGCTCTTCATTACTGTGTAGTATGGCATTTTAAAAGTCCTCTTTCTGACTGTTGCTTTTCAAAATGAAGACAAACAAAGCAACCCCACCATGGAATCAGACCTTCAACTTAAAGAAAGATGCTCAGCGAGTTTGGCCTGCTGTGACTCCACCTGCCAGCCCTCATCTACACATTAGAACATTTCTCAACTTTTGCCATCCAGCCATAGGTTCACAGTTAGTTAAATATTAATAATGTCAAACAGAGACTTCTTTCTGTAACCCTCGATTCCAGTTTGGCTTCCTCTCCAGTGCTCAGACATCGATAGTATTAAACCAACTATGTGGGGGCTGTGAGAAAGTAAAAAGACCTCACCAAAGTCAGAGGTACTGCCCAGAGGGCCTGGATCTTCCTGCCACTAGAAACGATGTATATGACTTAATCAAAGGAGATCAACGATTCTGATGTGATATGAGAATAAATTCATTTAATTGTGGAGTATCACACACAGGCACGTGTAAATACACACAAACGCACCATTATCACCAAACCAAAAAAAAAAAAAAAAGAAAGAAAGAAAGAAATTGACAAAACCGTGCAAAATCTTAGTCCCCCAAAGTCTAAATACAAGCTAGAATGCCGATGAACGAGATTTCCTGGGATTCCAGCTGTAATAAAACCCACTGTAGTGAGGCTCCTGCCTCTCTCCCTGTGTGTAGGGTTGTTGGACGCAGTAAGGGAATCTTGAAACTGCAAAAGCTGCCAACATGTCCAAAGGCAAGTTGCACTGGATTCTACTGAAGTCAAAGGCATTTACTGAGGGACAGCATTCCCTATACCCACAACATATAACTCTACACACCTTTGCTCCTTCCTTCTTAATTAGCACCTGAACTGGGGGTTCTGGTGGAGGAGGAAAGAGCAGCACCCACTTGCCCTTCCAATCTTTTCCTTCCACTTGACCCAGGCTTAGAGTCTGAGCTCTATTTCCCTGCAGCCAGCTGTAGTGGGTGGCACACCGAGCAGCCTTGGCTGCAAACTGCAGGCAGAAGAAAGGTAGGGTTTTCCTGACGCGGAAATCGCTGCTGCTGAACAACGCTGCAGTCGGATGGGAGATGTGAGGCTGCTGTCATGGGGGAAGGGCCTTTGCTGAAAGATGCAAACCACAATCCATTTCAGAGATGCTTGCTAGAGGCTGTGCCATTGTCTGTGCTTTGGGCTTCAGATATTTGAAATATCCATGTAAACACATGAACACATGGCTATGGATAGCCTTTGCTAAACACGCAAGAGCAAATACCAGGGCAGGGGTGGAGGGTGGACATCTATTAAAGGCATACACGCCCCTAACTGTAGAAGAAAAATAATAAACCCCAAAGAAGAATGAAGATTGGCTCAGAAAATCTATACACTGGGGGCCCCAGTGTTTTCTGGCTTTGAGAAGAGCCTGGCTCAGGAGGTGACTGGAGGATCCTGAGAGCTGGGGAGAGGAAGGGACCCTGTCAGGAGTTGAGTAATGTTAAAGCACGATGACGGGGGCAGGAACCCAGGAGGAGGAGGGGGAGGAGGCAGGGGACAGTCAAACATCGGAGAGCAGTCCAAAGGTTTGAGGGGCCAGAGGTGAAAGGCAGGAGGGGGCACGAGTTCAGGGTAACTTCAGGCTCTCTTCAGCCTCACAGCCTGCCTTTATCCAAAGCCTAACTAGATCTCTTCCCTGTCCCAATAGGTCCCCCTGGAGGAGAGGTCTGAGCTTCTACCATAGGAGGACAAACAAGCGTTTTGTCATTAACCCTAATAAACCAGGGTCAACCGCTCATCTCCACAGCAGCTTCACAATCCACTCCCAATAACTCACAACAAAAGCATGAGGATGCACAGGTGGGTGACATAATGACCTTGCCGCCGAGGCCATCACCCAACACCACACAACCTGCGTGCAAGTGTGTGTGTGTGCGTGTGTGTAGGGATGAGGCACGCACCCGTCAGGAGACAGGTATCTGTTAAATACCGCATAACCATACCGAAGCAGTGGGCAGGCGCTAAAGGATACCGGCCAGGGAACTAAGGAACGGAGTGTTCCCGGAGGTTACCTCCTTATGGTCTGGGCTCCCCTGGAGCCAGAGAGGGTAATGGCCCCTCCCTCCCTGCCCCAGGGCCCTCGCAGTCCTTCGCCCCCAGATTGCGGTGTCCCCGCGCGCCCCTCCCCTGCCTTCACACTTACTAGCGCAGCGCAGCGCCTGCCGCAGCACCTCTCGTCCGCACAGGTCACACCAGCCGGGGCCGACCGGCAGCACCAATTCCGCGAAGCGGTGCCCCTCGCCTCGCTCAGCCGGGACGCGGGGATCCTGAGGCTGCTCGAAGATGCTCCGCACGTCGCGGGGTCGGGGCGCTCCAGGGCGCCGCCGCAGTCTCTGCTGCAGTCCAGGCCGGAGCGGGCGAGCAGGTCGGGGAGCCCGGGATGGGGGCTCCAGATTCCCCCGGGCAGCCCTCCGGGCACTGCGCCCCTCATGCGCCCCGGGCGCAGTGGAGAGGGGCGCCGGGACACAGCGGCGCGAGGACCGGTCGTGGGGCGGCGGCGGCGGCTCCGGGCCGCTCAGGGTCTGCAGGTAGCGCGGCGGCTCGGGATCCAAGAGTAACCGGTACGGGCGCTGCCCGACAGCCGGGGACGCCATGGCCATGCCCGGCTGGTGGCTGCGGCTTCGGCAGCGGCGGCTTTGGCAACAGCGCTGCTCCCGAGCCAGCCCCGAGAGAAGGGGCGGCCCCGCACCAGCGCGCCTTTAAAGGGACCGCAGACCACTGGGCGGAGCGGGGACGGGGCGGGGGCGGGGCGATTCCAAGTGGCAGGAAGGAAGACCAGAGGGAACCCCCGACGGACAGAGGGGTAGGGTAGGTGCGGGGCGACGTCTGCGCGACTGTGGATCTGGGGGCATCTTCACTGGGAGCAGCTGCAGGATTCCGCAGAGGAGCGCCTCGGTACAGTAGAGTTCAGAGGGCGCATTTCTGCTGGGGGCCCTCGGCCTTCAACCCTGCGTCCTACCCCGGGGATCACTTCCCCCAACACCAGGTCCGCGCCACCCCCCGCATCCCCACGCTCCAGGAGAGGGAGCAGGTCGGAGGAAAAGGCTTGGGAACTGGCTGGATGGGGTCGGAGAAGGGCCCCTCCGTCTAGGCGTCCGCCCGCCACCCTCCCGCTGATCGCGCAGACTGCCAGCCGTGCTCCTCCGCCCTTCCATTCTCCGCTGGGCGCCACCCTCCGCCCCCTCTAGAGCCGAGCTCCACGCGGATCCGGAATGCCCCACGCGCACTCCCGCAGCTGCGCCTGGTCCCATGGCTGGACCGCAGGAAGTCGCCAGCGCAGAGCTGTCCACGTGCGACTTCCGCTCTGATTGGATTTCCCCTCCCTTCGCAGCCCTGTCGGGTAAGGAATTCCTCTTTCCCGGAAGACTGGGGGGCCCCCCGATTGAGAGAACACTCCCGCGCCCCAACGGTTGGGGGAGCTTTATCTTCCTTAGCCAACCCTCCACTCCCCACAGCTGCTCGAAAAATTACTGTGGAGATACCAGATCCCCAAAGGCCCTACTTGGTACCCGGTATGGACGGTTCACTCGTGGGACCCGAAGAGAGAACTCCTTTCTCCCGGCACTTTGTCCCATGGATTTGCTTCATGGACCCCTGTCCGGTTTAATGCTCTGTGGTCACCATCTTGAAAGTCTTACTTTTTGAACAAAGGGCTGGGCGTTTTCTTGTTGCACTGGTTCCCACAAACTATGTAGTTGCTCCCACAGACAGGCACCTTTGCCCATGGAAACTGGCCCGTCTCATGGATAAAGAGGACTCCTGGGTCTCTGAACCTGGGCTGGGGCCCTCTCTAGCCCCAATTTCCTTAACTGTACATTGGGCTGGAGGTGGGGAGACAGCTGGGTGGTAATGGGGCATTTGTCAGGTCCGTCACTCTGACTCAGCGATCGCAGGTTTCCTCTTAAAACACCGGTTCGGTCTGGTCCGTCTAGCATGGTCACTCTTTGAAAGAATAGTCGAAATTCTTCTGGACCTGGTCTCTCCCTTCTCTTCCCAGGCCAGAGATGGGTCTCCCCCTAGTGCTTCCTAGGGGAATCTTCACTTTTGCTTTTTGTTTTTCCCTTGGAGGTAATTCCTAAAATTTCCGGAGTCCAGTGACCAGGGAATTCCCAGCCAGCTTTGCTCCATGGCTTCTCCCTCGTGGTACTCATAGTTCTCTGCCTCCCGAATCTGTAGCAGAGGAGAGGTTCCTGGGGTTCTGGGGCTCACCAGAGGCCGGAGCTCACCCTACGAGGTGGTTTCTGAGGAATGACCCATAGGACAGGTCAACCCCACAGTGCTACCAAACAGAGGAGCTCCGATGAGGGATAAGGTGTGTGAGCCACAGGCCACTCCCTCTGCCCCACTCCTCCTCTTCCCTCTCCTAACCTTGCTTTTGCTACATCAAACCTTGGTATGCATCACAGTCACCTGGATTATTTAAGCCCAATTAAGATTATTGGGCTCCATCCCGAAAGTTTCAGAATCTATAGGTCTGGGGCTGGGGTTTGAGAGGGCTCCGTTTTAGCAAGTTCCCAGGTGTTGATGCTGTAGATCCAGGGCCCCCACCTGGGAAACCATTGCTCCAGGTCTGAGGTGGTGATAAGAGAATGGGCTTCTCTGTTCCTTCTCCCCAGGATGAGTGTGCTTCAGTGGACATGACAGAGAAAAGCCCAATGGGGGCTATTCCTGAGTACTTTCTGCTGAAGGCATAAAAGGGAAAATACAATTTGTCTTTGTGTTCTTTTATTTCCATCTCCCACTTTTTCTGCAAGCACTTCTCTTGGGGTTGTTGCAGAAACTTGTATTCCATATGAATATTTGCTGTGTCCACACTCTGTTACCCATCTCCACACACTTGCGACTCATTCCCTCCTAGGAATGCAGTGGGTAGGTGAGGTCCTGGGCATGGACCCAGCTTGAGCTCTGAGTGACAGCCTGGTGGGACAAGAAGCAGCAGAGATCTGACAACAGGTGCATCCCTGGAAGATCGGTTTTGAAATGCCATTTGTGAAATAATTGCTAACAGTCTCCATCTCTGTCCTTCCTGGCAGCCTCAAAGCATGGTTTGGGCAGTCCAACCCAGATTTCCTGGATAGAGAGACTCACGGGGAGGAGCGTCAGCTCTGGCCATGGGAAACTGAGGACTATCCGGAATCATCAGGCATAAAACTCTTCTCCAGTTGTCTGGGTTATACAGAAAAATGCTCTGATTTTTGTTTTCCTCTTGCAGCTCTGGTTTGGGAGTGACAGTGGCTGCTCTCAGCATGAATGTGGGAGGAGATTGTGCAGGGCCAGAGCCCTGCATTTGGCTTCTGGGGTGGGAAAGGAGATGAAAACGAAGATATAAATAATATAATTTCATGTAACCAATCCAAAAAGTTTATCATAAAGTTTATCTCAAGGTTCATCTCCCTGAGCCAAGAAATTAGAGTCGAGGTTGCCCTCCTCAACCTCAGCATGAGGCTCCCTGGCTGGGAGGGGTCTCCTCCAATGCCAGTTTTCCCAGCCCAGTTTCCTTCTTCCCTGAAATAGCATTCCCCTGCTCCCACAACACACATAGACTTCTCTCACTCTCTCTCTCTCACACTCTCTCTCTCTCTCTCTCTCTCTCACACACACACACACACACACACACACCCTACATGAATAGCAACTTACTCCTTCTTCCCCAGGGAAAAAGTGCTAAATAACCTCTGGTTTCATTATAAGGTCAGAACATTGCTGGGGTAGTGTCAGATACCTGGACTTTAACATTTTTTGGATCTGTCTGGTCATCCAGGCGACAAGGGTAAGACTGCAGCATCTGCTGAAATCCCTCCACTGGGAGTTTTCCTTCTTGTTAGTAGATACCCTTGGCTCAAACCCATCGACTTTTTTCTGTTTGTGACTCACTCCTAGCAGAGTGGGTGTGCTGCTTTTATTTTTGACCAAAGGGAAGGATTATGACAGTGAGTTTGGAGTGTGCGGTCAGGGTGTGAGATCACTTAGAGGTGGTCCCAGAGTGTGTTGGTTTTCCTGTTGGGTAAGTTGTTTTATTGCTGTCCCCCAGCCTCCCTCCCCAAGTCCCCTAGTAAGAAGGAAAACGGAAGGACAGAACATGGCCTGACTTCCTGAAGGGGAAGTTTTGGGTTTTGTTTGGCTTTGAGGCATTTGAAGTTGTCTGAAATCCCCGAAGCTTTCAGGGAACTCCCAGGGATTCTGACAGTTGCACAACTGTCTACATAGAATCACTGTCAGAGTCAGGACAAGTTAGGCTATGCGACAGTAGTAAGTGCCACAGCTCAGTGCCCTGAAACAACAGACCCCTTTCTCGCTCACATGACATGCCTTTTGCAGGTTGGCATGGGCTCTCTGCTCATCAGACTCACCATGTCTAATATTCCCAATCACTGTGCCAAAGGGAAATTTCGAGCACCTGGAGGATCCCACGTTAGCATTTATAGGCTCCAGTCACTTTCACTCACAGCTTATTGGCCAGAACTAGTCATATGACCCCACCCTACAAACAGGAGCAGAAATACAATTCTACCATGTGCTCAGAGGGGGAAAGGGCTGGAAACAGTTGGCAATCAGCCTTAATGACCAGTGCAATCTTTGAGGGCATAGAGCAGTTATTCATTCATTTAATGAGTAGTTTTTTTGATATCCGCTATGTATCAAGCACTGTTCTAGGCACTAAAGGTGCAACAGTAAATGAATATGTTCATGAAGCTTACATTTAGTGAAACAGCCAGACAATAGACAAACATAAGAGTAATATGATGTCAGGTTGTAAGAACTTTGATGAAAAATAAAGCACTTTAAGGGGATGAAGGTGACAGAGGCTGCTCTATGAGATTGAGTAGTCAGGAAAGACCTTTCTGAGGAGCAGACGTTTAAACACAGACCTGAATGAAGCAAGCCCTTTGTGTTCCAAACTAAGAGAACAACAGGCACAACAAACCCCCAAAACTTTCCAAGTTTTATGAACTTGAGTTTGTTCAAAATGCATATTCTTCTACCTGATCTTCTGATTCAGTATGTCTGGATTTTGGTCTGCATTTTGCAAAAAATTTTGATTCACATGGCTCACAGACCACATTTTGAAAATGAGGTTATGGCAGTGAATAGTTACGATTGTGTGACCCCCCTGCCCAGCCCACAGACATTTGAAAAAAATGTGCTTATGTTTTTGTTAACTATGAAACACAGATCTCCAGTGCCACTTCCTTTCCTTCTTGGTCAGCATGTTGCACGTGGAACTCAGCTTTCCAAAGAAGTGAGTGCTGTTTGCAATGTGTGAAGGGGGTCAGTAATACTTTACATTACTAGACTGAGACAGGGACCATGACAAAATGTTGTGGTAGGATCAAAATGTGTTTGTGAAAGAAATTCCTTGTAAAGTGCTCCATGTTACATGTATTTGTTCAAGAAACATGCATTGAGCATTTATTATGCGCCAGGCACTTTTGGCTTGGATGATTTCATCTTCATGGCAAGTCCGTTAAATGGCTAGCATTCCCATTTTACAGATGAGAAAATCAAGGCTCAGAGAAGTCATGTGACTGGCCCAAGGTGTCACAGTCTGGACTCATATCCACTCAGATCCATGAATTTGCCTTTGTCTTGCCCAGCTGCTATGGTATAAAGGGCAGGGCTCAGAATCTCTGATCTTGCCTTGTAGGTGCAGTTTGAAGAATCAGCAAAATCTTTCTTCAGTTTCCTCTCCCTATGGAAACCCCACTCTATGCCAAAGGTCTAGTCCAAATATCAGGCCCTCCAGAGCATTCCCAGAATCATCCAGACCTCGCTCATGGCTCCTTCCCTGGGATCCCACAAGAAGTCACTTGTGCCTCTGACATTCGATCATCCTCACGTGAGTTGCAGTTCAGTTTGTACATGTCTGCTTCCCTCACTTGTGTCTTAGTGGTCGTGCTGATCCCCTTGTGCAGGGCTAACTGGAGGTGCTCATTAACCTGTGCCTAGTCCAGGATTTTTTTCTTCACATCTCTTCAAGCCATGGCCCCTGTACCCAGGGATGGGGAGATAGAGGAATCGTTTGGTTTGGGGACCATTGAAAGTCCCCAAGGACCTGCTGGGTAGAAGTTGGGGTAGTATTGGGAGCTCCATTTAAGACTCATGTACTTCCTCCAAGATACTGGTGACTGGGTGAATTTCCTGCCTCCAGATGTTTGTAGCTGGCCAGGGCTGAGGGCTGGTGGGGCGCCATCTCCACTCGGTGAGATGGGCTTTCTGTGTGTCACCAAACTCTAGTGTTCCCAAGGGGATCTCCTAGGTCCTTGACAGTATTTGGGGACAAGAAAGGCAGATCAAGGTGGGGACAAAAGCAGGGAGGGATACAAGGGCTCCAGGAAAGGTGTCACCATGTAGAGTGGGGGTAGGTGGGGCTTGTTTTCCACCAGTTTTAGTGGCACCTTCTCCATCTACATCTCAATTATAAAATTTTTCCATCTTGAGCTGCTCTGCCAGGCTTATGATAAGACTGCGTGTGTGTGTGTGTGTGTGTGTGTGTGTGTGTGTGTGTGTGTGTGTGTATGTTTCTTTCCGTGTTGGAAAAACTCAGATATTCCAGGCAGATTTGTCAGCATTTTTTTTCCCTCAGCCAGTGGGGAGGCTCCAAGCCACAGCCACTTGCATTCCAGCACTAAGCCACCGCTGGGCCCATCGCGGTGGCAGGAAGCCATGGACTACATTACAACAGACCAGCGAGAGCAGGGTGGCCTGGGTGACCTCATGGGCTCTCCCTGCCCCGCCTCGGCCCCCACCTGTCTCCTCCTCTGTGTCTCCGTCTTGCCACTCTCCTTTCTGCTCCCTCTCCCTGTGCCCTGCTCATCCTCTCTCTTCCTCTCCCTCTCCCTCTCCATCCCTCTTCATTTCTCCCTCCCTCTCTCCCTTCTCACTCCCACCTCTTATCTCACCCCTCCTCCTTGGTCTCTGGTGGAGAGTGAGGGGCGGCAGTCATTCTGAGCTTCCAAGGACCATAAACTGAAGCTACTTCAGGTCAGCCTGGCTCTTTCCTTAACACTTCCCACGGGGGTTGCCTGACTAAGGATCCTTTGTGGGATAGAGGGAAAAGCAGCCAGAACTCCACCCTTTAAAAAATCATCGAAGCACGGCTGGGCGTGGTGGCTCAAGCCTGTAATCCCAGCACTTTGGGAGGCCGAGGCAGGCAGATCACCTGAGGTCAGAAATTTGAGACCAGCCTGGCCAAACATGGCAAAAAACCCCGTTTCCATTAAAAATACAAAAATTAGGCAGTTGTGGCGGTGGGCACCTGTAGACACAGCTACTCTAGAGGCTGAGGCAGGCGAATCACTTGAACCTGGGAGGTGGTTGCAGGGAGCCGAGATCATGCCATTGCACTCCAGCCTGGGTGACAGAGTGGGACTCCGTCTCAAATAAATACATATAAATATAAATATAAATAAAAAAATCAATGAAGCAGTTTGGAAGTGAATCCAAAATGACCAGTTGCAGCAATCCTTTGAGGATACTGAATCGAGGTGGCTCCATGAAAGCAAATGGCGGTTCCAGTAGGAGGGTGGCCAGGCCACGGTTGAGATCCATCCTGTCCTTAGACTGGCTCCCCTGGGCTCAGCTCCCAGGGTGGGTGTGGGGTGGGCTGCCTGGTCCAGTGTACCACCCACTGCCAATTGGCCTCTGTTGGTGCATTCACACGTCCTCTGTGGGATGTCTGTTGGATCTCTGCCTCAGTGTTCTCAAACTTGAACGGGTGTGAGACTCACCAGGGAAGCTCATCGATAATGCAGATTCCTGGGCCACACCCTTACCGATTCAGGAGTTGAGTGGGGTCCCAGAATATGTGTTTCGAAACCAGGACGCCAGTCTCAAAAGAGGAAACTGTGTGGATTCTGGGAGAGAAAGAGAGATAGACCTGCGCACCAGGCCCTCCAGAGCTGACTAGTTCCAGCCTGGGTACCTGGGACAGGCCCCCTCGTCCTTCTAGTCAGGCCCCCTTTTCACTTGGATTGACCTGTTTTAAAAGGCTGCTAGCCATGAATCTGAATGCCACGTGGAATCTTCCCAGATACCTGTGACTGATCTGAGCCCCTGATGTGTCTTGTCTGAGACAAGAACTTCTGTTTCCTCTATCTACCCTGTGCAGGCACAGCTAAATGAGGTGGAGAGGGGGTGGGGAAAGTGAGCAGAGTGTGCAGAGAACTATCGTATTAATAATATTGTGTTTTAGGCAATTTTTGCACATAGCTAATCTATTCCTCCCCATAACTGTCCACTCACCACAGGGTACCAAAGAGTAGTATCTTTAAAATACCAGTTGGACTTGACCTAAAACCTGTCTGTGGTCCCCTGGGGTAGAGCCCAAGTTCCTTAGTGTGGCCTGCAAGGACCTTTTGGGCTGGCTCCTCCCTTTCCACAATACCAACTTCCTACTTTAACCTACGCTCCAGTAACACAAAAATACCTGTAGTTCTTCCCACCCTTGCGCTGCTGCGGCTCCCACAGCCAGGAATGCCTCCCAAGTCTTCTTTGCTATGTATCACCTGCTCACCTGCTAAGACTCCACTTTGGAGTCCCCTGCTCTCAGTCATTCATTCCCTGACACCTTCTGAGCCTGACCTAAGCACCTTCCCCTGTGAGGAGGGTGACTTAGTGCCACACTTGAGGTCTGCATTCCTATCCCAGCCCCTCCTCCATGATGGGGAGTTATCTGTGGCATGCCTGGCTTCCTCCATAGAGGTGAGCTCCCATGAGCCAGAAAGGTGGCTTAGTCACCTCTGTAATTCCCACACCCCACGGGCCTGGCACACTGTAAGGGCTCAGTTCATGTCTGATGAACCAAATGAGCTCTTTTCATTTTAAGTGTTATGTTAGGAATCACTGCAGAGAATGGAGAAGTATATTCAAGAGGTCTTCAGACACCTGTAGATCTTATGGGTCATTTTGGGCCATAGTCCAGTCCCTCATTTTCTACAGAGATGGAATCAGCAGCTCTGCAGAACCTCAGATTCGGGGAGGCATCGACGTCAGCAGCTCTGCCCAGTGTAGAATGAACTGGAGTCACTGGGCGCGGCGGCTCACACCTGTAATCCTAGCACTTTGGGAGGCCAAGGAAGAAGGATCACTTGAACTCAGGAGTTCAACATCAGCTTGGGCAACATAGTGAGACCTCATCTCTACAAAAAGTATAAAATTAGCTGGAGGTGGTGGTACATGCCTATAGTCCCAGCTACTTGGGAGGCTGAGGCAGGAGGATTACTTGGTCATACAGTGAACAGTCACTACAGTGAGCCCACAACCTGGGCAACAGAGCAAAACCTTGTTTTCCAAAAAAAAAAGAATAAAAAAACCTGAACTGAAGCCTTTGCGTGAGTTTGTCGGCCACATCTCGTGGGCTTTGCTCATGAGATCATACAGCCCGGATCACATCATCTCCCAAAAATCTGCATTTGGCGTTCAGGGATCCCTGGCGCTTTCACTGAGCTCCACCAAGCACGTAGGGTCCAGAGCAGCTGCTGTTGCCAGGGAAAACCCACTGTGGGACTTCCCTGAAGGGCCACTCGTAGGCCGGAAGTGTGGGCCGGAAATTCAGGCCAGCAGAGTGGACGAGAGGTGGTCTAGTACCCGGGAACATCAAGGCTGCAGCAGGTCTCTGAGGCCCCAGAATGTGAATGCATGGCCTTAAGTGACTCCATGGGCCTGAGGCCCAGATAGCAAACATGAAGCCACTTAGGCCTGATGCAAGGAAACAACCTCCAGCCACCTTCCCCCTGGGCCTTTAGAGTGCTGGTCTTCCCACAGCAAAGCAGCAGAGAGGATGTCAGCCTCCAGGACTTCCCTTCCTCATTTCTGACCCTTCTGGGTCAGTAGAGTGGCCTCAGGATGTGGGGCTCCCATGAAGATGGGCAGGAAGGATCTCTGGGGTTATCTTTGGTCAAGCATAATGCTGTCTTCATGCCTCAAAGCACATAGTGGGCTTCCCTACTCATCTTTCCCTCCTACTGGGGCTACCTTACTACGATTCTCCTTCCCTTTCCTTCACTCGCCCAGGCAGGTGGGTCGTCCAGCTCGGGTTTGGGGAAGGCGGGAGGTAAATTTGCAAGCAGTTTGCAAAAATCAGAATGCCTTGCTCAGGCAGCACTCTGGATTCTAGACAAAATGAAGGAATGCTTAAAATAACCCATAATACTATTCAAATCCACTGTTTAGGACATAGCCTAGGTTCTGAATAGTGGTGATGGGGGAAAGGCAGTAGCCACCGAGATGGTGGGTTTGAAGCAAAAAAAAAAAAAAAAAAAAAAAAAAAGCAAAAAAAAAAACCCCTTCTTTTCCCCTAAGTTTCAGGCCCTTTAAATGGCTTTCAAAATGATGGCGTGGGGCAGGGGGGCAGCAAGAGAATGGAAGGAATGGGAAGGCACCCCTTGGGTTCTTCCTTGAAATTAGGGCCCATTTAGGGGAAAGGCAGAAACCAGGACATGACCAATTCCCACCCCATTTCCCAGCACTCCTCACAGATACCTGCCCAGGCCTCACTGGGTGCCGAGCACACCCGGCTGAGAGCTTTCCCCGACTTGCAGACACACCCCAGGGACAGCCACCAGGAACAGAAATGAAGGCCACATTTATTCCACTTCTTGAAGGTGCAGGCCTGGGATCTGCCTGGACTCACGGGCCTGTTGCCACTGGCTGGCTGCATGTCCCAGGACCAGCCAGAGCCTCAGGGAGTGACGGAGAGGGAAAGGGGGGCCCCATGGCACTGGCACTGTCCCTGGCCACCTATTTTCTCAACTTCAGGCTCCATCAGACCAAGCCTAGAAAGAACAGGAGGCTCTATGTTGCCTGAGGCTGCGAAGGGTGACCCCTGGAAATCACAGGGGAGCAGAGACTGCTGTGTTCAACATGAAAAGCTTGAAGAGGAAGGAAGATTGTGATGAGGTCGCCTGACCTAGTACCCTGGGGAATCCCCAGGAGGCCTCCTCTCCTGCTGGCTAGGGAGTGAAGCTCTGCAAACCAGAGGGAGTGGGAGGGCATATGGGAGCCTCTTCTCCCCATGGCCCAGCCAGGGGCACGGAAGAGCGATACCTGCGCCTGGATAAGATGGAAAGGTCAGCCCAGGCAGTGGCTGCCACGCTTTCCTATGGGTCCTAACAGAGGTGGCCTGGTGCCCAATCTCAGCTGTGCCGCTTCGCAGGGAGAAAGGCAGTGGAAGGTAATGCTGGCAACATCCCGGCCAGCAGCCAGGAGGGAGGTAGGCTGATGTGATGGGACGGGATCTTGTCCTGGGTTGGTCTCACGGTGCCGGAGAGCAGTGTTCAAGTCATTCTAATGCTTCAGGATGCCTCACGCGCCCCATGGAGCTCAGACATCAGAAGCTGCTGGGACTCTACTTAGCCTGCAAGGAAAAGGTACAGGCTAGCAGTGCCCACCTGCTGGAGAAGCCCGCAGACCACACTCCAGGGCCCAGCACAATTAGCTTTCAAGAGCACTGAACATTCAAGTCCTCAGCTTTCCCCTTGTAGCACCCTCACTCCCTGCCAAGAACCCACTGGCTCTCACCTCTGACTGTAGATTAGAATCACTTGGAAAGCTTATAAAAATCCTAACCCCAAGCTGTACACAAGAGTCTCTGGGGCAAGCCCAGGCGTCTGTACTTTTAAAAGGTCCCTTGGTGATTCCAATGTCCAGCCAAGGTTTAGGAGGAGGGGAAAGGAGTTTCAACTGGTTCATTTGGCTCTTTGGCTACAGCTTCGAATAAGAAAGGGAAAATTCAGTAAAATAAAGTTTTGAGCTATCTGTAAATAGATTACATATCACAGCAAGAACAATTTATGTTGGCACTAAAATTAGAACTTCCTGACCAAGAGGGCTGTTTTGGAAAATCTTTCCAAGAAGCTTTCAAATGTCCTCTTTATGGGTGTTTAAGAGGATAAGTTCTCTTGCTGGAACAGGACAGGGAGGAGCTGTCTCCCTTACCCAAGGACCCTCTGAAACTCGGGACAGATCACAAACTCTGCTCCTGGTTTCTCTACCACCTGGCCCCACTGCTAGTGTCTCAGATTAGAGTGGCCCCTGGGGAAGAAGTAACATTTAGTGAATCTTTCCCTCCGCACCCCGCTACAAGCACCTTGCATATCTCATTTTATTCAATCCCTATGTCAACACCATGAGGTAAAAATCACTACGCCTGTCTCACAGGGGAGGGAACTGAAGCTCGGAGTGGAACACATCTCCCAGGGTCATGTAGTTGGTAAGACACAGAGTCAGGATTGAAATCCTGCAGGGGTCTCTGCTGACTCTACCTTGCCCTTGGTTCCCAGAGAGGAAAATGACAGACACGAGGATGACAGGGGGAGTGGGAGATGCGTGCACGTGTGTACATGTCTGTAAACAGGGCTGCTGGCCTTCAGGGCAAGCAAGGACCTTTCTTTATCCTGAGATTATCTCTTGGGTGGTAAAATGAACTTTAAAAAGTGGGGTTACTAGATGGCAGGGCTTTTTTTCACTTCAAATGTGCCTACTTGGTTATGTAAACAGCTAGTAACTCCGTGGTTTTCCAGTTTTCTTTTTCTGTCTTTTCTTTCTTTCTTTTTTTTTTTTTTTTGAGATGGAGTCTCACTCTGTCGCCCAGGCTGCAGTGCAGTGGAGTGATCAACCTCTGCCTCCTGGTTTCAAGTGATTCTCCTGCCTCAGCCTCCTGAGTAGCTGGGATTACAGGCACGTGCCACCACACCCAGCTAATTTTTGTATTTTTAGTAGAGATGGGGTTTCACCATGTTGGTCAGGCTGGTCTCAAACTCCTGACCTCATGATCCACTCACCTCAGCCTCCCAAAGTGCTGGGATTACAGGCATGGGCCACTGCACCTGGCCTCCAATTTTCTTTTATAACTTTTACTGGTATGCAAAATCCCAGAGTCTGAGCCCTGCTGTGTTCCCGCACCAACCTCTCACGACCCCTCAGCACCTCAAGGAGGGGAGTCGAATCAGATGATCCTGCAGCTGGGGCTGGCCCATGAGCATTGGCAGGAGGGATGGGAGCCCCACAAGGCCAGAGAAACACCGGCCTTGGTCATCCTACCCAAGCTGTGTGTGCTGTGGCTTCCTGGGGTAGGACGTGGGGATGAAAACAGCACCGACCCTGATGATGGCTGTGGTTCAAGGAGACAGTCTGGGGAAGCTTGGACACAGAGTCCATATGGAGTACAGAGCTGGACATAGGGACAAACGCCATGCCTCCAAGGCCCCCAGCTCCCCGACAGCATGGGGACTCACACTTTAAAACTTCGAAGTGAGGCCGGGCGCGGTGGCTCAAAAGCCTGTAATCCCAGCACTTTGGGAGGCCGAGGCGGGTGGATCACGAGGTCAAGAGATCGAGACCATCCTGGTCAACATGGTGAAACCCCGTCTCTACTAAAAATACAAAAAAATCAGCTGGGCACGGTGGTGCATGCCTGTAATCCCAGCTGCTCAGGAGGCTGAGGCAGGAGAATTGCCTGAACCCAGGAGGCAGAGGTAGCGGTGAGCCGAGATCGCGCCACTGCACTCCAGCCTGGGTAACAAGAGCGAAACTCCACCTCAAAAAAAAAAAAAAAAAAAAAACCTTGAAGTGAACCCTACACCTCCTGAGGATGTCAGCTCACTTGGGAACAAAGCCTACGCTTCAATAGGGCTGCTTGGAAAATGGACATGCGCCATCACACCAGCATGGGCAGGCTTGGGGACTCTCCACCCCCAGGCAAGTTTAGCTTGAAGACCCAGCGCTGCCGCACCAAGGTGAAAGCTCCTTACCGTTCGATGACACGGTTGTTGTCCAGGAGGTCAGACGCCAGCAGCTTCATCCCCTCGCAGAGCTCTTGCATGCTGCCAAGGCAGAGGCAGGGGAAGCGGCTGAGGCTGGAGGTCGCCCTGCCTGGACCCCTTTCCTGGGAGGCCCACCCTGCTCTGCAGCCCTACCGAAGCAGCCTCTTTATTCTTGTTTGTTTATTTGGGATGGAGTCTTGCGCCCTCGCCCAGGCTGGAGTGCAGTGGTGTGATCTCGGCTCACTGCAACCTCCGCCTCTCAAGTTCAAGCAATTCTCTTGCCTCAGCCTCCCGAGTAGCTGAGATTATAGACGTGCCCCACCATACCCAGCTAATTTTTTGTATTTGTTGTAGAGATGGGTTTCATCACGTTTGCCAGGTTGGTCTCAAACTTCTAGCCTCAAGCTGATCCGCCCACCTTGGCCTCCCAAAGTGCTGGGATTACAGGTGTGAGCCACCACACCCGGCCAGTCTCTTTATTCTTGCCTCCTAGGCCTGGCATGAGGCAAAATTCCTCAGGCTCTAACCTCAGCATGCTCCCAGAAACCCCCTTCCACACAGATACACACCCCCTTTCTCCCCAGCACTTACTGGAGAAGCAGGTCGTTTGGTGTAGGGCTGGGATGAGGAGATACAGGAGGTGAGGAGGTCAGAGCTCCCTTCGCTCGGTCCTGAAGGAGCTGCTGAGATAGCTCTTCCAGGATCTGCAGGGAAGCCATGCTGTGGTCAGCAAGCAGTGGCCACATTTTGTGTGGCTGGGTAGGGGAGTGCCAAGGAGCGGAAGACGTGGGTAACAAGCGCCTCAGCCTGCATCCCCAGAGCACCTGGAATTCTGCCGTGCCCACCTTGCTGAGACTCTCCTGGACCCCCTGGGCTTCTGTGTTACAGGCGGCCACAGAACAGCCGACCAGGCGCAGGTGGTTCCTGGTCTCATGCACCACCCTAGAGAGCAGACAGAGACTTAGAATCACAGCAGGACTCAGCCCACTCCCAGGGCTCGCCTAGGATGTCGGGTCCACATATGGACACAGGTGGGTCCCGGGTATTTGCCTCCCTCGCTGCCTCTGCCCTGCCAGCTGTGCCCTCCACGCTTGCCCACCCCACTGCAATAATGCAGATGCACACGTCTGCCTGAGGCCAGGAGGGGCCCTTGAGGGCCACAGTGGGGAGCACCAATATCATGCGTGTGGCTGGGGCTGGGTGACACACGCCAGCTCTGGTGAGCGTGGCACCAGTCAGGCTGTAGAGAGGCAGCCCACACCAGGGCTCTCTGTGTGGAGAAGTGCCCACGCTCTCATTTCCAGTGTGAATTCTCTTCTGTCTCTAAGTGGAGGGAAGGAGCGGGAACATTTTTCCCAAGGCCCAGAGCTGTTCAACCAGGGGTTGGAACTCAGCCCTGGCCACACATGAGAGTCACCTGGAGGAGCTGTAAAACCCCGATCTCCAAGCCCACTCCAGAGCAACGACACCAGGATTTGTGGTGGGTTGGAGTAGGAGAGGCAGGCATCAGTGTTCTCATATGAGGGCGGGTGAGTGCCAGGTCTCAGCCGCATAACAAGCTGAGGTCCTGCAGGCCTCGGAACGTGGCAGCACGTGGGGAACTGTCCTCTCTTCTCAGGAGGGGCGATGTCACACAGGCAAATCACGGAGGGTGGGCCTGATGTGAGCAGGCAGAACCCAAAACTCCTGAAGGGGACAGTGTGACAGAGGGTTCTATGTAAGGGTCACTGCCACTGTCCTTATCCTGGGGGACTTGTGTTCTCCTGAAGAGATGACTCAACACAACGAGGTGGACGGTGGAAAGAATCCAGATTTGATTTGATTTTACCCTCAAAAGCCCTGAGGAATCACATTGTAGAGGCAGACAGAGCCACATATGAATCTTGGGTCTGCCGCTTACTAGCCGTGTGATAGTGCGGGAGAGGCCTGTTCTCAGAGCCTCAGTTTCCTCATCTAGGAAATAGGGTGATGATATCTCCTGCATAGGGCAGATTTTGTGGGATTAAAGGTAAGGTATAGAAATCTCCCAGCCAACTGCCTGGTCCACCCAGCGACACAAAACCACTCATCTGCTCACACCCATTCACTCACTCCTCCCGCTCCCTTAGGGTCCCGCAAAACCATGAGTCCTCTGAAGTTTCAAAGTGCCAGGCCAGGCCCTGGGCTCCATGAGCTCAGGAGGAGCTGTTACCTCATCCTCTTGCCGTGCGTGACTAGGGACGCTTGATACTTCTGCACGCATTCCTCCTGGAACACCTGCAGGAGCCTTTTGGCTAAATGACTGAAATTCACCCTAGAACAACAGGGACCAAGGTAGAGATGTGCCGCCAGAACCACCTGTGCACAAGCCCACCATCCCTCGGTCTCTGTCACCACCTCGTCATAAGTGCCCAGCCCTGCATCCACAACAGGGCCATGTCTCCGGGAAAGGAGGAAGGATGGTCACACACTTGGATTGTGAAGGCTGAGGTGGCCAGCAAAGCCCACATCAGCAAGGACACATGGGAGACACACAGCGGATCCTCAAGAAACACACACGTGCTCAAGCTTAGTCCTCAGGAAACAAGAGGAAGGTGAGGCAGCCATGGAAAGAATGTAGGGGTGTGTGTGTGAGTGAGAGTGAGAGAGTGTGAGCGAGAGAGAGAGAGAGAGAGATCAGCGTACTTACAGAACTGGGGGAGTGAGTTCCCAGATAACCATTAAATCAGGGAGGGCCTCCTGGACATGAGAGTGTCCGGGAAGCATGGGAGACAGAGGAGCAGGGGGAGGCTCGGGGAAGGTTCAGGCAGAGGTCGGAAGCAGGAAGTGGTAAGTGGTCAATCAGTACAATTAGAGAAAAAACCCCTGCAAACAGCCTCGTGCATACCAGAAGTAAATCCAGTTACATCAAGATTGTATCTGAGATGCCTCCCTCCGACTAAGCTATGTACACTACTCTGCCGCCCCAGATAACCTGTTAGCCCGAACTCTGCTCAGCTGCAGCCTGAGCTCAGGGCCCTTCACCACCTCTCCTCTGGCCTTGAGGATTGCTCTGCCCTGCGGGCACCCACCCTCCTGCCCACTGCCTGCCAGCAGACAGGCCACTCACTTATCCAGCTTGTGAATCTGCTCCTCGTTGTAGCTGAGCCCTGAGGAAACAGACAGGATGGGTGTCACCTATTCAGTCAATGAAACAGAGTGCTGCAAGGGCCTGGAAAGAGTTACAAAGACGGACAGCCCAGGCTGCTTCAGGGGAACTCACGGCCCAGCGGAGCTAGGAAGGGCAGAAGAGGAAAGCCAGCACCCAAGTTGCTGATTAGGACGAGGCCCAGACCTCAAGAAGCTGTGGGGAAATTGTGTGAGGGCCCCCGGGGAAGGCAGCCTGCAGGGCAGGGCAGGGTGGGGAGGTGGGGGCTGCTTAGGGGGCTTGGTCAGTCATAGCCCCTTATCCAGCGCCCTCCCAGAGTGACTGATGCCAGCAGGTGGTCCCATCCCTGAATACTCATGGTCTCTGCCTGCAACGACCTAGAGAAACCAGGCCACCGCCACCTTTTACCTACCCCTCTGCCCAGCCGCTTTAGCCAGAAACGCTGAGGTTTGCATGGCCTGGGCTGCGTCCTGAAGGGCCCTTAGGCTCATGAACTAGAGAGATGCTGCCCCCTCCTGGTCTTTGCAGGAATGAGCCTCCAGCGTGGCAGCAGCCCCGAGATGAAATGATGCTGGTTCAGTTTGTGAGCCTCCCCATCCCACTCCCCTAATGGCAGAAGCCCCCTCCTGGGCCCTGTACCCGGCCAGCTGAGAGCATGTGTGCAGTCCGAGAGGCCTGGGACAAACCTCAACCCTTCCTCCTGTTGGCAGGTGGCGCTAGGTGAGTGATTTCACCTGGCTGAGCCTGTCTCCTCAACCGTCACGGGTACCACCTGGGAGTCCCGTGAGGCTCAAGCGAGGCAGTGCCCTGAAGACCACTAGGCATTTTAAAAGATGGTATCTTTCAACACACAGGGTCTTAACAGTTAGGGGTTCACTTTTAATTTTAATAAAGGACTCTGAAAGACCAATAGAAGGAAAACTCCTTTGAGGCCGTAAACGGGACGGTTAAAAGCAGTAGGACCTAGATGACTTGGGCTACTTAACCTTCTGTGTCTTGGTTTTCTCATCTATAAAATGGGGAGGGTAACGATGCCTAGAGGTGTCGTTGTTGTTGTTCGAGACAGGGGCTGGCTCTGTTGCCCTGGCTGGAGTCCTGCCGTGGAGCCATCTCAGCTCACTGCAGCCTCAAACTCCCAGCTCCCAGGCTCAGGTGATCCTCCCACCTCAGCCTCCCAAGGGACTACGGTCACATGCCCACGTCCAGCTAGTTTTGTTTATTTTTTGTAGAGACAGGGTATTGCTATGTTGCCCAGGCTGGTCTTGAATTTCTAGGCCCAAGTGGTCCTCCAGCTTCAGCTTTCCAATGTGCTGGGATTTCAGGCATGAGCCACTACACCTGGCCTCATGTATATATGTATATGTATATGTATATATATGTGTGTGTGTGTGTGTATGTGTATTCACACACACACACACACGTTTATAACACATCTCTATGGGGAAACTAAATTTTTGCCAAAAAGAAATATAAAACAATAAAGCAGGCTGGATGTGGTGGTTCACTCCTGTAATCCCAGCACTTTGGGAGGCTGAGGCAGGCAAATCACCTGAGGTTAGGAGTTCAAGACCAGCCTGACCAACATGGAGAAACCCTATCTCTACTACAAATACAAAATTAGCCAGGCAAGGTGGTGCATGCCTGTAATCCCAGCTACCTGGGAGGCTGAGGCTGGAGAATCGCTTAAACCCTGGAGGCAGAGGTTGTGGTGAGCCGGGATCGCGCCATTGTACTCCAGCCTGGGCGACAAGAGTGAGATTCTGTCTAAAAAACATAAATAAAGTAAAAAATAAAAGAAAGCAATGGGAAAGCATCCTGTAGTCCCAGCTAGTCAGGAGGCTGAGGTGGAAGGGTGGCTTGAGCCTAAGAGGTTGAGGTGACAGTGAGCAGTAGTGATCACGCCATTGTATTCCAGCCTGGGTGACAGAGAAGGGCCCTGTCTCAAATATATATATATTAGCATGTAATCATTATGAACAGATTGCTAAAGAAATAATTGATGTATTTATGTGTATATATACACATGGGATTTTGAAGACACCAAACAAAAAGAACACAAAGTATTTCTTTAGTGATCTTGTTTATATTGGTTACATGCTAAAATGACACTGGATATATTGGGTTGAATAACACATTAAAATTAGTTCCATTTGTTTCTTTCTACTTTTTAAAAATTGGCTACTAGAAGCCTTAGAATTACCTGTGTGGCTGGCATTCTATTTCTAGTGGACAGTGGTTTTTAGGTAATCCCAAGGAGAGAAGAGAATTTGGCAATCAAGCCCAAGACCTTCAGTCTACGGATTAGGAAATGATTGGGGCCTGGGAGGGAAGAGTGGGGTTTGGTTCCTGGTGCGTTTGTTCTTCAACCTGAGAGTCAACTGGGGCCTCCACAGGCTCGCTCCGGTCCCCCTCACCAGCCCTTCCTGGGTTCCACCCTTGCACTACCCCACAATGTCAGTCGCTTTGGCAAAGCAGCTTCTCACCCCCAAGCCCCTGCCACAGTGTCCTTGTGAGAATGAAGGGATCATGCCGCCAAAATCCCTGGCCCTGTGACTCAAAACGGTACTTCTCCTGATTACCCCCTTTTCCCAAGGACACCATGGTTAAGGACACTCTATACTTTCAAGTGCCCTGCCAACGTGAGGGATCTCTTTCCAGGGTAACCTCTTCTAGAGCACCCGGGCCCCAGCCCACTGCATCCCCCACTCCTGTGATCCAAGCCTCTCACGTGGCACCAGGCAGGTGTGTAAAGGTTTCACATCCCCCACTGGCCTGCAGGCAGCTTGCAGACAAGGGCCCTGCCCTGGACCAGCTGAGCAGAACCATCCACTTAGCGGGCCTCCGGCAACACCAGCTGGAATAGCAATGAGTAACCAGAGAAAAGGAAGAAAGAAGGGAGGCACAGGAGAGAGTAGGGACATCCTGCCCTCTCAGGCTCACCTGGCCTCATCCTAGACTTCTTGAACTGTTTGTAGATGAGGTTCATCTTGTCCAAACAGCACTGAATCTGCTGGATGCTGTAGGCAGGGGACGGAAAGCAGGTGTTGGAAGAATCTAACAGCACAGAGCAAAGACGGAGGGAGGGGAGGGGTGGCAGTTGAATAGGGGAGGAGCTGTCTCCCTGCAGGAGGAGTCTCACTGCCACAATGGTCAGGGATCAATCTGGGAGTGCCGGCGACTGTTTTGTCTCCAGGTTTATTTGAGACCTCCTTGCCGTCAGCCGGCCATCTCTCATTCTCATGGCTTAGTTTCCCTCCCTCTCACACGCATGCACTCACAGCATGAGTTAAGCAAGAGATAAGAGAGACAGGAAGCCAAGTAGCATAGGCAACAGGCATGCGGCCTTTTCTGCACGAGAAGCTGTGACACTAGGCCCTGGGAAGGAGCCTAGGCCCCTGAAACCTAAGAGCGCGTCTGGCCGTGACAGCTGGGGATGGAGAGGAGCTGAAATCTCTCTCTGGTCATCTGGAAAAAGCAGAAGAGGATAGCTTCTTGGTTTACCCAATGGCTGGCACACAGCAGAAACTTAGCATAAATAATGAATCAATAATCCTTGTTGAAAACAAGAATGAATCAACAGGCTTGGTCCTGCTCGGAGGCAGGGGACGGGGGGGATGATCTCCCAAGGATCTTCTCCGTCTGGGGTTGAAGCTCATTATTATTTCTTCCTTCCCCTTTTCAGGCTGGATACAAACACTTTGAGAAGTCAGGAGTGTGGTGTGTGGGGAAAGTTTTTCCTCCCCGCAGACCTACGTGGCTCTACTTCCTCCCTGCAGCACCTCCAAGTGACCCCATCTCTGCTATTTCTGGAGCTGGACTCTGAACAGACCACAGGCTTGTTCCAGGGCTCTGCCAGCTGAAGGAGCCTGCCCCGCCAGGAACATGCGGGTGGAAGACGAGGTAGCTGGGACGGGGCCTCGAATCCTCGGCCTTCATCCGAAAGGACAGGGCCTCGGATCCACGGCCTTCATCCAAAAGGCTTGGGGCCAAATGAGCTCCAAATTCAGAATTCTCTTCTGATATCAGAAAGGCAATCTGGTACTCACACAGTGTATTTGTGGAAAACCCTGAGCAGGGCATCAGCTTCTAATCAAACACATCCCCGTCTCCAAAGAACCACAAGAACATTCACCCTAAGTGGCATAAAGTCTACAAAAAGCCTCATTCGGTTCAGGTCAGGTTTTATGACCAAAACAGTTAAGAAAACTCCTGTGGTGTTCAGAGCTGTTTGAATTTAGAATTGAGGGAATGGGGTGATGGCTGCAGATAGGCCCAGATTACAGCAGGCACGGAAGAGAATGGGAGGAGGTCCGCTCTGGGCACCACCCTCTCCCTGGTCAGAGGGGGCAAGGGAATGAGCGGCTCCACACGGTCAGCTGGGGGTGGGTGGGGCTTTTTGTGTCTGTTAAAAGGGAGAGTGGCGCTTTAAAGGTTGTGAATCCCTGACTGGTGTAGGCCAAGAACATGAGCTTTGGAGGTGGACAGAAATGACCTGAAGCCATCTCTGTCACTTGTCTTTTACTGGCTGTGACTCAGGTAAGTTAACCTCACTGACTCAGCTTCCTCTTCTATAAAAAGGGCTTTAGCAGCTGAGTGTGGTGGCTCATGCCTGTAATCCCAGCACTTTGGGAGGCCGAGGCGGGCAGATCATGAGGTCAGGAGTTCAAGACCAGCCTGGCCAACATGGTGAAACCCCGTCTCTACTTAAAAAAAAAAAAAAAGAAAGAAAGAAAAAAAAAGAAAAAGAATTACCCAGGCATGGTGGTGCACACCTGTAATTCCAGCTACTCGGGAGGTTGAGGCACAGAATTACTTGAACCCGGGAGGCAGAGATGGCACTGAGCTGAGATCGCGCCACTGCACTCCAGCCTGGGCGACAGCAAGCTTCCATCTCAAAGAATAAAACAAAAACAGCTGATTTTATAAAAGGGCATTATCATAGCATTATTGTTGTTTTCAGAATTCAGCAAGATGCTGTACATGAGAGGACCTATCCAAGGGACCGACACAGGGAAAGGGAGTTAACCCTTCTTTCATTCAGAATTGTTGCACCTGCTACCCAGATCCTTTTCTCCTGGCTGCTGTCTGGGGCGGTGGCGGTGGTGGGGAGGTTCATTGCAGGATCTCCCTCCATGCCCCCATGCCCTTGCACTCTTGCCAAGAGAAAGAATGCCAGCTGATGTCTGTAAAGGCTAAAGGCTACTGGACCTTTCAAGCTGCGCACTCCCACACTCCCGCCCCACAAAGAAGGAAAATCCCACAGACCTTCTTTCCTCATGTACCTGATCCCGGCTCTTGACCAGCTCCCGGCGCAGGCTGCTCAGGCTCTCTTGGGTCTCCATGATATTTTGGGAGCATCTGGAGAGGACCTCAGCTAGCTGTGGGGCAAAAAAGCAGACCCCCATGGAGTCTTCAGCCTGGGCACTAATGGGCAGGCTGGCTGGACCACAGGCCCCAGCTCTGATCCTGTTAAGCCCTTGCCCTCCAGCCTCACTCACAGTCCGCAGCCTGGACCTCAGTTCTGCGGCCGCCTTCAGTTCCTGGATCTCAGGTGTTCCAGGCACGCTGCTGAACCTTGAGAGAAGCAAGGAGAAAAGCCACATTTGGGGGCTTAGGAACAGCCAAGGTGGGAGGCAGCGAGCTCTGTGGGCACCTGCTGGGCACAGCATCTGCAGGACAGCCTTGCTGGCTCTCCGAGTCTCTGGGGAGTTTTGTGTTTGGGACAGAGGCACCGTCCTGAAGAGGGCCCCACTAACCCAAAGTTGTGACATCGTTGAGCATTGCAAAGAATAAAGGTTGAGGCAGATTTTAACACCTTGAGTCTACGAAAATTCATGGGCCCGTGATGCAAGGCTGCTATTAATGATATCCTTACCAGGAAAATTTGTAACTAAAGGAAAAGAATTAAGTTTCTGTCCAGTAGAAACTGTATTTCTTGATAACCAATAGCTTTCTGATGAGGGAAAAGATATCTTTGGTAGACTACTAGGCAATGATGTGTCAGAGGTGAGAGCATTAACATCCTGCAGCCCACTGAAACTGTCCCCTAGGGCACAGCGTTACTAGCAATGATGAATGACAAAGGGGTGGCCATCTGCACGGTGACAAGGCCACAGCACTCTGCTTCTTTCTTCTACAGGGAAAATACAACTGTACACTGGAGGACTCAGGCCGCCACCAGCCAATGGTTATGTAAATATACAGTACCTGGCATCATCTGGAATGTATTCTCGCAAAAAACATTTGGCTGGAACCCATCTAGCCTGTGCCCTCCCAGTTTAGGCCTGGCACAGTGGTTCACACCTATAATCCCAGCACTTTGGGAGGCAGAAGTGGGAGGATTGCTTGAGGCCAGGAGTTTGAGATCAGCCTGGGCAACATAATGAGATCCTGTCTCTACATAAATAATAATAAAATTTTTAAAAAGTAAAAAACAAAAGCATGGGCATGGTGGCTCATGCCTGTAATCCCAGTACTTTGGAAGGCCGAGGTGGGAGGATCACTTGACACCAGGTGTTCAAGACCAGTCTGGTCAACATAGAGACCCTGTCTTGAAAAAAAAGAAAAGAAAGAAAATAAGCTACTAAAAAATTTTTTTAAACCTCCCTGTTTCCAGAAAATGTTGATAAAGAGGAACAAGACAAACAACTTCAAGGGGAAGCTCTGGATGAGGCCAGAAGGTGGGACAGTGGATATGATCCCGAAACAGGCTATAAACAGCAGATACACTATAATTTTATGCTGGTTATTGATTACTCATAGGAGGTATACTCCTAAGGTGTGATAACCTATCGCTGGGTCATAGGATACGGGATTTTAATTTTCTTGTCTTTGCTTATCTGTTTTCTAACTTTCTACCGTTAGCATACACTCTTTTACTAACACTCACGATGCTTTACAAGCATACTGTGTGTTTTGGCTCAGGAATGGAGGAGCAGGGGAGGAAAGGGGCTGGGTGAGGAGAGAATCAGGAATGAGCTGCAGGCTCCTTGAAGACGGGGTGCTGCCCTTGCTCCTCCTGCGTCTCCAGCCGCTTGCTCAGCACACAGTAGTTCCGCAGTGCACGGATGCTGAAGGTGTTACTGAGTGCACAGATGGATTTAAGGAACAGGAATTTTTTTTTTTTTTTTTTTTTTTTGAGATGGAGTCTTGCTCTGTCACCAGGCTGGAGTGCAATGGCACAAACTCAGCTTACTGCAACCTCCATCTCTCGGGTTCAAGTGATTCTCCTGCTTCAGCCTCCTGAGCAGCTGGGACTACAGGCATGTGTCACTATGCCTGGCTAGTCTTTGTATTTTTTTAGTAGAGATGGGGTTTCACCAACTTAGGATGGTCTCGATCTCTTGACCTCATGATCCGCCCACCTCAGCCTCCCAAAGTGCTGGGATTACAGGCATGAGCCACCGTGCCCAGCTGGCATGGGATACTTGACAGCAGAAGAGGGTGAGGCTGACCCAGCCTATCTGCACAGGGAGTCAAGAGACCTGGGTCAAGTCCTAGCGATGGCAGCCACACCTGCTATCTGCATGATCTTGGATTAGTCCTTTAGCTCGCCAGGCCTCAGGCTCTTCATCTATAAAACGAGGAGGCAAATTTCCTTCCTGTGACCTAATAAGGTGTTCACAGGGATCAAAAGGGACCTCAGAGAGAAAGTCTTGCCTGGCAGTGGGGCTGGGGAAAGCCTTGGATCCCCGAAGCCAGTCCTGGCTGCCTGAGCAGTGCCTCCACATGGCAGCAGCTGCCAAGGAGGGCCAGGGAGTTTTGGGACAAAGGCAGAAGTTGCTCTGCCAAGGGAGCTGTCCTGGGGAGCCTGAGGCAGGAGGAGCACACGGAGGCAGAGGCGAGTCACCAGGTGGGGCAAAGGTGCTGCCTCCTCCCATGTGACATTCAGATCATGGAAATCCCTGATCCCACTGGGGGCGGAGCTAGTGTCTTCAGACCTTAGGAGAATCTACAGGTCCGAGGATGTCCCGGCAAGAATAGGATTGCAACATGTGGGAGCTGGGAGGCCTCCGAGATCATCCAACCCTCTGATTTTGAAAATGAAGACACAGAGACCCAGGTAGGGGAAGGTAACAACAGGCCGGAGTCACACCCATACGAAGAGAAGAGGCTGCACATGCCCTCTGGCTCGCCTGCTCTCAACTCTTTTTGCTTCCCATCCTCCTCCTTGACAGGAGGCTGAAATTGGCTTCAAAGCAGCCACTTGCCTGACCCGAGCTCTCCAGACACATCATGGAGGCCACTTTGGAGGAGGCTGCAGAGCCAGCACAGGGGAACAGTAGCCAGCAAATGCCAGGACGCCAGACCCAGGCCAGCACGCCCCTCCACCTGCCCCATGCATGTCCATCCTGGGCAAGTGGGCAGACAGACACCCAGAAAGCTTTCTCAAACACATCTTTCCAGATCGAGTCCACAATGCCTCCCTATTGTTTGTTTTATTGGGGTCCAACCTGCCTCTAGCTGGACCCCTCCAGGGCCCCTATGCATTCTTCCCTCCCCTCCTTACCCCACCTCTGTCCCCTCTGACTTCACTCTGGGATATCTGCCATCATGACTGTGGCTTCAGTAAGCCTCCCCAGCACGCTCTCCTTCCCCCATGAACAGAGCCCTCATCTTCTCTGTCTCTGCACAGACCTTCCTGCCTGAGGAAGTCTCCTTCTCCTTCCTTCTGGCCTTAAAACCTCATCATTCGGGAAGGCCTCCGTGTTGCCTCTATCGATCTCTAGCCTCCCCTTCCCCAACAGTCCCATCGGCCCTCACATGTCCAGGAAGGGCTAGCTGCTCCAAGGAAGCATGGGCCTCTCTGTATGACACGATGCCACATCTAACCTGGAACCCCCTCTGTGCCCTGGACAGAGCCCTGCTCAAAGGTGAGTCACTTGCAGTTCTGCTGACTGCACCCCACTCTCTGTCACCGTTTGACGGGAGCTCAGCCCGGATGGAGACTCCATCCCTGTCACCTGGAGGCCCTCCGTTTCCCCCTCCCTGCTCCTCCGCCTCCAAGCTGCCCTATCATCTGCATTGCTGCTGCCAAGCAGGAGGTGCGTGGGGCTGCATGAGTCAATGCACAGCTGGGAAACTCCCTGGAGCTCCCTGAGCACAAGGGCTGGGGGATGGCGGGAGGATGGGGGCCTTCAGGCATATGAGCAGGCTCTGATCCTCTGTCCCCAAAGACTCCTGCCACCATTGGCATCTCTAGGCTGCAGAGCTCCCACCCCTCACCCGCCTCAGCCATACCAGGGCCTCATGCATTCCAGGATTTGGGGTGCTATGCCCACTTCTCAGCCATGCTCTGGCCAATGAAGTCTTCCCACATTCCCCGTCTCCAGATGCTTGCACTTGGCTTCCTCTTCCCCACTCTCTCTCCTTTTCCAACCCGTCCTCCCTGGAGTGGAGGGAGTGGGGTTCCAAGGATTGGGGCAGGGAACCCAAGGAAGGCAAGGGCAAGTGGAAGACTCAGAGGAAGCAGGAGATGGGACGGGAGAACACTGGGTCTCCATTCCCGGTTACATGCAGGGACTGTGCGTGGGTGTGAGTCCTTCCCCTGGAGTTCTGCTGGCACTTGGCATAGCGGGATTATTCTAAATCATTCAAGGACTTGGCAAGATACAAGCCCCTTCCTGGGAAAGGGCAGCCACCTTGATACCTGGAGAGTCTGTGCCCCCAGGGGCCCCTTTTCCTGCAGGTGAGGGACTGGGTTTGGGGGGAGCCATTGCTGTTATTTGGTGAGTGGGGAGAAGGGATAGGGTGGAAGTGCCCTGTATTCTAGTGGGCCAGGGAAGGCAGGATCTCTGGGTTGGGGAGGAGAGGTGCATTGTTGGAAGTACCCAGAGTGAGGAGCAGACAGAGCAGCGTTGAGAGGTCCCGGCTGGCCCGGGCCAGACACCCACCTCTCAGTGCCCAGGCTGCTGCTAAGGAAGAGGAGGGATGTCCTCGCCACCTCCAGAGTCCGCCTGCATGTGGCCTGGAGCACCTCCCTGTCCAAGGGGAGACTGAGTCAGAGCTGCTTTGATCAGGGGACTCAGAGCACCGTGCATGCAGACAGAGTCCCAGGGTGCCCGCCTCCCCTCCTGCCAGCCGCCTCCTCCTGCCACCTCCCGCTCTGTGCCCGGCCCTCATGGTACTCACAAGACCCGGTGCAGCCCCTGCAACATCAGCTCCTGCCCGTCCAGCAGGGCCCGCGCCAGCCGCAGGGCCTGGTAGCCGGCGCCCAGCACGCCCTAAAACAAAGGTGCACAGGGCCAGGTCCCACACCTCCTGCCCCTGGGCCACGCTCCTCCCTGCCACCTAGGGGCTGCCCCTCACCTTGGCGGTGTTGTAATCCGCCTGCAGGTCCACTTTGGGGACGAACTTGGGGACGTCCAGAGCAGCTGCAAACAAAGACCCTGTCTGAGGGACCTGCCTCTATGGTACTGGGTGGACTCAGAGCCCATCTTTCATTATTTCCAGCTCACACTCACCCCTCACTGCCCATCTCCCACCCCAGGCTTCGCAACTCACCCTGAGCCCCCAACCTTGCAAGCCTCAACCACACTTAAGGCTGTGATCCCTCACTGCCACCTTGTGGCCACTTTTGAGAACTACATCCTCATGTCCACGGGCTGAAAATGGACGAAATCACCCTCTTTGCCACAGGTTTTGAGGTTAATACCTCTTCCTAGCCTCAGAGAAGGAGGGTAAAATTGGCATTCTTCAAATGAGAAGAAATGGCACTTTTAAGAGAATTTAGGGAAAGTCCAAAGCTCTGGACCCCTGACCCCCTTCCCTTCTTTCCGGGAGCTCAGACTTGGGCTTCTTACAACACAAACTGCCTAAGGCTTCCCCACAAATCAGAGATTACAGAAACTGTATTAAATCCAGATCTCCCTGTTTCCACTGGAGTTATTTCCACAGCTCTGAGGATGCTGGGAAGCCCCAGGGAGCTCAAGCCACCAGCCCATGTCACGTGGCATCTCAGAGGCATCTGCAGAATTAATTAGAACCCACATCTGCCTCCTGCTCCCTGTAGCCCTAAAGAAACACCCACAAGGAAAAGTGACCCATGCCCTGGATTGCATACCCCTGTCTCTCGGAGGAAAATGATGGGAGGAGGAAGATCAGCCCAGGTGGCTCTACTCACGGTCCCTGAAGGCCAGCCCCTTGGGGATGGCTGTGCTGAAGAGGGTCAGAGGGCTGCTTGCTGTCGTGTGGGCAATGTGCTGTGCTGAGATGCTGGGCTCGAGGACACAGAGGTGACCCTCAAAGAGGTACTCCTGGTGCCGGGGGGCCACGCTGGTCTGCTTATGCACAGCCTCCTGGAAAATGGCTATCCTAGACACAGTGGTGGGGGAGCAGAGAGCAGGTGGTGTCAGCAGGCAGGACGAGGGGCCAGGGTAGCCTAAGGCCCAGCTAAGTGTTGCCCATAGACAGGGCTGTTTTGCAGATGGAGGGATGGGGGTGGTTTTCTCACTCATTAAGGGTGGAGAGACCAAGGGGAGAGGTTGTGAACTCTCATCTTATAGTGGATGGAGACAGCATCGAAACAGGTCCCAGGAGTCCCAATACCCAGCCTCTGGCTCTGCGCCTCTTCCTGTCACACTGCCACTAAAATTTACCTAGTTCCATGAAATTCTTCAGGAATCAGGGGTTCTATGAGCAGTACATTTAGGAAATGCCTGGCCAACATACGCCACGCACACACTTCTCAGATGTGTAATGCGCATTAGCATTAGAGAAGGTACTGACTCTCTGAAGTACGTGCAAGAACACCTGTTTAGCTTTCACTTTGTAGAACTTGTCTTTTTCCAGACTACGTTTGGACCCAGAGGTGTTCCTAAGTACACACACCTCAGAACGTACTTTGGGAGATGCTGCTTGGGACATGCACTGCTGCTGGGGAAGAGAAGGCTCACCGCTTCCCTCCCTTGCCCCTGCTTACGTGTTGTGGGCATGGATATAGATGTGGTGCAGGACTGCCTGGGACAGGGAGAAGACATGGACGACAACTCGCTGCAGGATGTCACTGGTCTCCGCAAAGAACTGGTCGAAGCCCCAGCACTTGGCCTGCTCCACCTCCAGGATGTTGGCCAGGATGGGTACCAGCTGGCTCTGCAGCCCCCTGCCCTCCCAGGACATGGAGACTGTCAGGGGTCAGGCCCAGACTTGTCCTCCATAAGCAGGCAATGGGGCATTCTAAGAGAATGTCCTGAAGAGCTAGGGCCAAGGCGGTGGGGCAAGGTGGGTTGGGGAAGAGCTGGAAGAACTCGCTCCAGCATCCAGATGGGAAGGTGCTGTACCCAAGCCCACGGCATGCCTGGAACCTGCTGGAACAGGCCTCAGAAGTCCTGACTCAGCAGAGAGAAGTGATACTCAGCCCAGACTCCAGCATCACCCACCCAGTAGGGTCCCACTCACAGTGACAGCTGGCAGGTGATAGGGAGGGTGTAGCTCCACTCCAGGGGACCGTTCTCCCGCCTCTGAGTACCAGCAATGGCCCCGGCCGGCTTCTCTGTGGTGATCCGGTACCTGGGGGAGCAAGACTGGGTCAGCAGGATCCCAGCCGTCACACTGCCAGGCATGACACACTCAGCACAAAGGGCAGGGAGCACAGGTTTGAGTCACCCAGCCACCCCAAGGTAGCCTGAGAGATGGAGCATGAGCCGCCTGGCTCTCAGCTATGACAGCGCCTTGCCTCGGCATTCATCCCAGAGCCCTTTGCTTCAGGTAGAGACACCTGTGCCCTGTCCACTGCCTCTCCCCCGCCTCTTCCCCCAACCTGGCCAGCCTCCACACCTTTGCCCAAGCTGTGTGTGGACCCAGTATCCCCTCCTCGTTCTCTCCCTCCAAGAGTCCAGCCTTCCCTGACAGCCCCCGTCCACACTGGTCTTCCCCTTTCGCAGGCCTGAGATAGGTTCCACACAGCGGGACCCCTGGGCTAAGTGCGGGTGCAGCAACGTTCCTGCTACGCCAGCTGACACCTCTGCCCTGGGCGGTGTGCTCAGAGGGAGCCGCTACTGCCTCCAGCCACTGGCTACTTCCCTGTCAGACAGCAGGAAACCGTGGAGAGACCTTGGACCTGGGAACAGGCAGCGGCCCCCTTTAGCCCTGACAGGCACTGCCACCTTGGGCAAGCCGCTTTTCGAGCCTCAGTTGAGAAGAGGAGGGCAGTCAGTGAGCAGAGGATGGCAGCAAAGCACTGAGCTAAGATGGGCAGCAGTGGCAGGCTCCCATCAGCCTGGGCAGAGCTCAGCTGATTGTTTGATTCAATTAACAAAAAAAAAGATCTATGAAGAGCCTGGGCGGGGATGGACCAGAGGAGGGCTGTGGACTGTGAGGGGCCAGGAGACACAGCCGGGACCGGTGGGGAAGGGCCAGGTGACCGCCTGTCCGCCCCCTTCCCTGCCCCGCGGCTGACTTACATGATCTCCTTGTTTCGACGTGGCCCGCCAAAGGGGATGAAGGGCAGGCTGCCGGTGGCTGCATGGTACAGGGTCACGCCAATGCTCCAGAGATCCACAGTCACCCCGAACGCTTTTTGCTGGGGCTTTCGAAGCACCGCCCGCTCATACATGTCCGGGTGCTGCCAGAGAGAACCAGAACACGGTCACGGAGGGGGAGGGCTGACAAGGGCCTGAGACCCGTCCCACCTCCTTCCACCACGTGCAGGCGAAAACAGAACTGTTCAAATCCCTCTCCTTTGTCATCTGAAAAACAGGTGTTGCGTTCGACCCTACCCAGAGCGTTTCCATCGGCCCACCCTGTGCCCTGGGGAAGGTGGAGACCCGCACGCCCCATCCTCCCCAGTGTCCGGCAAGGAGTTAACTGCACAAGGCCGGGCGGGCTGGCCAGGCTGCAGCCTCACCTTTTCCATCGTACAGAACAGAATGCGTCCTTCTGTTTGGGGCACAGGGGAGAGACATAACCCTGTCGGAAGCAGGAGGTGGCCAGGCCCTCACATGGGGGCTCTGAGGGGTTCACAAGGCAAAGGGAGCCCTCAGCGTGGGGCAGCACGTCCCCAGCAGCTCACCCACCAGGTACTCCTCAGTCCCATAGACCGAGACGAACTTCTCATCGTCGTCCAGCTCCCGGGCGGCCCCGAAGTCGGTCAGCTTGTAGATGCTCTGCCCCTCCTCCCCCATGAGCCGCATGATGTTCCCAGGCTTGATGTCACGATGCACGATGCCGTTCTCCCGCAGGTGGTTCATGCCGGCCACTGGGGACAGACGGGGGGCCACTAGCTGGCTCTGGCCGGGGACAGTCTAGTGTCTGAGGCTCATCTTGGTGGGAAGGCTGTCCTTTCGTTTAGAGAGACAGGAGGTCCCGTGGGCTGACGGAGCCGTGGGACAAGCAGAAGGGCAAAGATGGGCATGGGGCTGAGGAGGGCATTCCAAGGACACTAGGGCATGGAGGTGCCATCTGGATTCTCTAGGAAACCGAGAGGGATGGTGGCTCTGCCTCCCCAAGGGCGGCACCTCTCTTTGTATTACCTCTTTTTATTATGTATTTAATTGTGGTAAAATATGCATAACCAAGTTTCCCATTTCAACCAATGTTAAGTGTACAGCTCGGTGGTGCTAAGCGCAGCTATGCTGCTGTGTGACCATCGCACCATCCATTTTAGAACTTTTCTCGTTCTCCACTTTCTTTTTTATTTTTTTTGAGACTGAGTTTCGCTCTTGTTACCCAGGCTGGAGTGCAATGGCGTGATCTCGGCTCACCGCAACCTCCGCCTCCTGGGTTCAGGCAATTCTCCTGCCTCAGCCTCCCGAGTAGCTGGGATTACAGGCACACGCCACCATGCCCAGCTAATTTTTTTGTATTTTTCGTAGAGACGGGGTTTCACCATGTTGACCAGGATGGTCTCGATCTCTTGACCTCGTGATCCACCCACCTCGGCCTCCCAAAGTGCTGGGATTACAGGTGTGAGCCACCGCGCCCGGCTTTTTTTTTTTTTTTTTTTTTTTTGAGACAGAGTCTCATTCTGTCACCTAGGCTGGAGTGCAGTGGCGTGATCTCGGCTCACTGCAACCTCTGCCTCCCAGGTTCAATCCATTCTTATGCCTCAGCTTACCAAGTAGCTAGGACTACAGGCATGCACCACCACACCTGGCTAAGTTTTGTATTTTTTATTTTTATTTATTTTTTTTATGAGAGGGAGTTTCGCTCTTGTTACCCAGGCTGGAGTGCAATGGCTCGATCTCGGCTCACCGCAACCTCCGCCTCCTGGGTTCAGGCAATTCTCCTGCCTCAGCCTCCTGAGTAGCTGGGATTACAGGCACGCGCTACCATGCCCAGCTAATTTTTTGTATTTTTGGTAGAGACGGGGTTTCACCATGTTGACCAGGATGGTCTCGATCTCTTGACCTCGTGATCCACCCGCCTCGGCCTCCCAAAGTGCTGGGATTACAGGCTTGAGCCACCGCGCCCGGCCAAGTTTTGTATTTTTTTAGTAGAGACAAGGTTTTACCACGTTGGCCAGGCTGGTCTCAAAACCCCGACTTCAAATGATCCGACCACCTTGGCCTCCGAGAGTTCTGGGACTACAGGCATGAGCCACTGCACCTGGCCTCATTCTCCAGAATTGAAACCGTGCTCATCAAATGACTCCCCATTCTTCTCTGCCCCCAACCCCTGGCAACCACCATTGTACTTTCTGTCTCTGTGAATGTATGAGCGGAATCCTACAGGATTTGTCCTTCTGTGTGTGGCTTTTTTCACTTAGCCAATGTCAGCAAGGTCCATCCATGTTGCGGCAGGTGTCAGAATTTCTTTCCTCTGAAGACTGAATAATATTCTGTTTTAGGTTCCTCCCGCCGTTTTTTTTTTTTTTTGTTTTGTTTTGTTTTGTTTTTTTTAACACAGGCTATTTCCACCTTTTGGCTATTGTGAATAATGCTGCTATGAACACTGTGTTCTTTTTTAGGTTGAATTTTTGCATTGCAATTTTAAATGAAATGATTAGCAGGAGGCAGGCGCCTGGGTCCTGCCCATCAGCGTCTGTCCCAGGCCTGTTGCTGGTCTAGGGAGGAGGCAGGGAAGGGAGAGGCTCACCCACACAACGCAGCACCACCAGGAACTCATCCTCCGGCAGCCCGAAGGCATTCTCGGGGCTCTCCAGCACGCTCAGCAGGCTCCCACTGGAGCAGTACTCCATCACCAGCACCTTCTGCCGGCCGCCTCCCTGTGGTGGGACAGAGAGGGGCTCGGGAGGACTTCTCCTGCCCACTCACTAAGAAGAAGTGGCTCAGCCTGGAACCCAAAGCCCCCATTCTTCAGGTCTCCAGCCCTCTGTGGCCTCATAGTGATCCCACACACCTGAATACACAGTCATCTCTTCCAAGAAGCCCTCTCTGCTTAGGTACTGATTCTGTCCCTCATTCCATTCCTGGGCACTGCCTCCAGCCCCTTGCATCCTTTGCTTCCTTCTGCAGTCTGCCTGCTCTGCCTGACCTGCTGATGAGCATGGGACCAAGTCTCTGCTATTGTGTGGCCTGACACTCCTCAGACCGTAAGGGTCAAGGACAAGACCATCCTCTGACCAAGCACCAGACCCACCGTCTCTTCCACCGCAAAGAGCTTGACGATGTTCTGGTGGTTCAGCTTCCGCAGGACCTCAAACTCCCTCACCTGCACCTCGCGGGGCCGCAGGTAGCTGACGGTGTTGAAGACCTTCACAGCAACCAGCTCCCCAGATTTCTGCCATTGGGGAGGGAGCAGTGGGAGACAGCAAAGGGATTAGGGCAAGTCCCACTCCCGCAGGGCAGCAGCCACCCTCTCCTGGGCCTCCATTCAGCCTCTCTGGCCAGCCCAACCCCAGAGATGAGCCTGGTTGGAGGGCAGCTCCCACCCACACCTCCTTTCTCTCAAGGGGTAGACAGTCCAGCACTGGGAGGTGACGAGAGCCTGGCACCCTGACCTCCTGCAGGGGACGGCTTGTTATGATTACAATTGCTATTGACAATCACCAAGGGCAGCTAGCACTCCTTGGGGAAGCTAGCAGCAGGGAAGGGATTGGAACCTGGTGTGTCCGGCTCCCACTCTTAAGTAAGGCAGAGTGTATATCATCTCATATATTCCCACAGGATAAATCCAAGCAAGGCTTAATTCCCCCTCTGCTAGTCCTAGATCCCATTTGCTGTTACCTCCCTCAGATGTGTGTCTTGTGACTGCATCTTTCTCTTCCCCCAACTCGTGCCTGACAGAGGCATCCTCTTAGGGAGCCATTTGCAGCTCCCCATCCCTCTGCTCAAACCCACCGTGTAAGTGTGCTGCACAACGCCCAGAGGTCCCTGTCCCACTGCCCCCGAGGCCCACAGGGGGCTGACTGGGCCAGTTTCTGAGGTGTGGGGGGCCAAGGCTGGGCTGGGCAGGGCCTGGCCAGGGCTGCTCCCTACCTTGTTGCGGGCCTTGTACACACTGGCAGTGGCCCCCTGCCCCAGCAGGTCGTCTGTGTGCCACAGGTAATTGGCGGTGCTCTGCATTTCCTGCCCTGGGCTGGCTGGTCACCTTCCGCCTAGAAAAAGAGCATGCTGGGAGCCCCGGATTCCATTCCTGGCATGGGGTGGCCACAGGTGGCCTGACTGTAACTGTCTCCCAAGACCACCCTAAGAAGGGCTCCATGTGGCATTCCACACCCAAGGGAGAGGGGGATGTGTGAAGCACAGAAAGGTTAAGTAACTTCCTATAAGGACACACAGCACAAACGAGCCCCTGCTGAGCCTTCAGCCCACAGCTGCATTTGTTCCACCTAAGGGGCCTGGTCTTCTGCCTGTCCTGGCTCCCCAGGTCCCCTCGGAGCCCCTCCCCAGGCAGGTCATTCTGCAGAGACAAACCGCTTGTCTTTGTCACCTCTCCCCAGCACTGAGGTTTCTGGAGTTCTGGCATCCAGGCTTGCGATTGTCCCAGAAAGCAGAAACGGTATAGGAGGAAGGGCCCCAGGTCAGGCAGCATCTCTCATACCACCACAAATCTCCAGGATTGCAACATGAGCCTGGAACCACTCCCCCAGCCCCCACGGGGCCTGCCTGCCAGGCCCACCACTTCCTGCTGCTGTGAGCTGACAGCAGGGCCAGTGCTGCTCCAAGAGGGACAGGGCTGCTTCAGAGTGTGTGTCTGTGTGTGTGTGTGTGTGTGTGTGTGTGTATTCGTGTGTGCATGTTCATGTGTGTTAGTGTGTGTGCGTGCGCGTGCATGTGCGCCTACATGTGTGCGTGCATGTGCGTGTGTTGGGGATTAGGAAGGTGTGTGTGTGTGTGTATGTGTGAGGGGGTGTGTGTGTGTGTGTGTTGGGCATAGGGAGGAAGGGGTGTGTGTGTGTGCGTGTGTGTGTTGGGGTAGGAAGGAAGGTGTGGGTGTGTGTGTTGGGGGTAGGAAGGTGTGTGTGGGGAGTGTGCATGTATGAGTGTGCATGTGTGTGTGTGTTGGGGGTAGGAAGGTGTGTGTGGGGAGTATGTGTGTGTGTGCATACGTGTATGTGAGCGTGTGTGTGTGTGCATGTGTGTGTGCCTGTGTGTGTATTGGGGAGGAAGGGGTGTGTGTGTGTGCGCGTGCGTGTGTGTTGGAGAGGAAGGTGTGGGTGTGAGGGTGTGTGTAAGAGCAGAGTATCAGGGAGGGAACTTCATCACTAGGCCATTGGGAGAGGCTGAACCCCCTACAACTCTGCTTCCCATCTTTGTCCTCTTTTCTCCAAACCCTGATTCTCCTACAGCAATTAGTACCAGAAAGTGTAGCCTCAGAAGTTACACTCAATTTCTCTGAAAAATAAGGCCAGGGTTGGCCTTTTGGGATACCTGGGGACAGAAGCATTAGAAAGGCCACCATCCTTTAAATACTTCCATTTTTTTTTTTTTTTTTTTTTTTTTTTTGCTATAAGGTCTCTCAATATGTCACCCAGGCTGGAGTGCAGTGGTGCAATCATGGCTCACTGCAACCTCCACCCCCTGGGATCAAGCAATCCTCCCAGCTCAGCCTCCTCAGTAGCTAGGACCATAGGCATGTGCCACCACACCTGGCTGGTTTTTGTATTTTTTGTAGAGATGAGATGGGTTTTTGCCATGTTGCCCAGGCTGGTCTTGAACTCCTGAGCTCAAGCAATCTGCTGACACTGGCCTCCCCAAAAAAGTGCTGGGATTTCAGGTGTGAGCCACCATGCCCAGCCACTTAAGTACTTTTAAATAATGCTAGACTAGAAAAGGTGTCTTCTTGTTCTAACATTCTGTAGACCTGTAACAACCTACAAGGGTTCTCAAACTGAGGGTTGCCATGCCTGGAATCCTACGTTCCTTCACTGTGAATCTTTACTTTGTGTAATCTTTTTTTTTCCTTTCTTTTTTGAGTCAGAGTGTCTCTCTGTCACCCAATCTAGAGTGCAGTGGTGTGATTTTGCCTCGCTGCAACCTCTGCCTCCCAGGTTCAAGTGATTCTCCTGCCTCAGCCTCCTGAGTAGCTGGGATTACAAGCATGTGCCACTACACCGGGCTAATTTTTGTATTTTTAGTAGAGACAGGGTTTCACCATGTTAGCCAGGCTGGTCTCCATCTCCTGACCTTGTGATCTTCCCACCTCAGCCTCCCAAAGTGCTGGGATTACAGGGGTGAGCCACCGCGCCCAGCCTGTGTAATCTTCTTTAAAAATGCAAATCAACAAGAAAAAAGAAACAAATTTTCAAAAAATGCAAATCCTTGAGAATGTCAGTTCACAGATCCAGAGGCCCCTTGAAGAGATTGGTCGTCAACTCCTAGTTTCAGGCCAAGTCGGAGTGTATCTTACATAGAAGCAAATGAGGTACTAAGAGGCTTCCAATAGCTCAGCATGAAAGAGGGGGTCAGGTTTTCCCCTCCAAGGCTGGAGCCAGCCAGCAGGGCTGGGGGCTGGGGCTGGAGCAGAGCACGCTGAAATCAAGGCCAAGGGCTCTGATACTGGGGCGAGGAACAGCTGAAGACTCTGGGGTAGTAGGCAGTGAGGTGCAAAGGGCAGAGTGCCAGACAGGCGGCGTGCCCCTGGGTTCTGTGCCTGCGAGCTCTGGTTGTGGCACATCTGGCTCAACTCTGCACGCTCGGCGGATCCTCCCAGCACCACCCTGTGCACCTGGTGCACAGAAGGGCTCAGTGGCCCTCTTCGCGTGGTTGGATGAATGAGCAGTGGATAGTGAAGCATGTGAGCCGCCACAGACCCACACACCCCTCCCCTCCCTCCTCAGGGCTCTGCCGTGGCCAAATGCACTTACCCCACACTCTGAGCCGCCCTGAGTCAGGCAAAGGCTCTTCCTGGCGAGCGTGTGTTGTATTTTCTGTCTGTGGCACGTCCAGGCGCAGAGCTACACCGGAAAGAGGAGGGCGGATGAGAGGCGCCCCTCAGTGCAGCTGCTTCTCAGCCTCCATCAAAGGCCACTGGCCCTAGCCCTTTAACCCTTTCCTGTTTATCACTTCCCCCACAGGGCTGGGGTTTTCCAGCTCTATCCCCCAACTGTTCAGGGAGACTTTCCCGGCATCTCCTACTCCAGAGACTCCGGCCACGGAGAAGGATCCTGGGAAAGGTGAAGACAGGCGCTGGGAGCTGATCGCTGGCTTCGGGTGTTGGTAAGCGGAGCCCAGGGAGGGCTTGTGGTTGGCCCACGGTGGCTCACCTCTATGCCACACACAACCCTCTATACGAGAGCACTGCTGCCAACCTGCCCACAACCCTGCGTCCGGCTGAGCTGCCCTGCAGCTGCCCCTTGCCTGCCCTCCTCATTCCACCCTGACCCCTCCACATGCTGCACACTCACCCCATCTCCACTGCAGGGGATGCAGGCTTGTGGGACTCGGTGGCACCCCCAGAGCTTTCAGGGCTTGCTCTCATTCATGGGCAGTATTCTTAGCCTTCTGGTGGCCAAGGGCCCCTAGGACCCACAGACAGGGCCAGTCGTAATGACCTCTGCCACTGCAGGAGCTGGGACTAGTGGGTTTCTTCCCTGTCTCCCTGTGGCGGTGGAAAACCAAGCTCAGCCCTGAGTCCTGGCTCTCAGCTCTCTCATACTTCCTGATTTCCGTCTCTTGCTCTCTCTTTCTCTCTTAAAGAGACAGAGGCAACTCAGTGCAGCCACCACCTCAGCAGAAAGGAGAAAGAGGATGCGCTGAGTTCCCAAGTGTAGGTGATAGGACCAGCGTCTGAGCCACAGAGACGCCAGGAACTGGGGCCCTTCTGGTAATTGCGGTGGGCAGCTGGGTGCTGTTTTGGCATCTCCCACAGTTCGCTGGAGCAGGGAAGTTCAGGGCTCTGCTCAGAGTCCACAGAGCAGGTTGGGCAAGTTAACTAAGTGGAAAGCTGCCTGGGAAGTCCACGCTTCCACACCCAGGAGCCCCAAGGAGGTCTGGGAGCTATGCCGATCCAGTCCTAGAAGCTGGATCTGACTCACCTTCCCAGGAGGACTGCAGAGGTCCAAAAGCAAGCACAGGGACCCAGCTGATGCTCTCCAGTGTGACCTGAGCACAGCACACAGTCCCTCCCAGCCAGCTCACTCAGCATGAATGAAGGGGTCAGGTTTTCCCCACTGAGGCTGGAGTCAGCCAGCAGGGGCTGGGGTCTGGGGCTGGAGCAGAGAAGGCTGAAATCAAGGAGCAACAGGAGGAGTGGAACAGCTACTCCGTGGGTTGATTGGATGGCATGGATGTATTTGGAAATGTTTGGGACCCTAGAAAGCATTTTCCAGACAGGCATTGAAGGCATGGAGGCCCACACACTTCAGCAATTTACTCATGCTCTTCAGAGACTGCTGGGGCTGGAACCCAGGTGCCAACTTCCCAGCCAGGACTTGACACCCCAAATAAAATGTCCCAGGAGGCTGGAGGGGTCTGTGCTGCTCTGGTCAGCTCTGAGATGGCAGGTTGGATGTAAAATGGTTAAAACCAGGAAATTCCATGTTTCTTTAGAACGTCGGAGGGACTTTCCCATGGCCACACCTGGTGGTTTCCTCTGCCTGCCCTGCTCCTCCCACAGCGACACTAGAACAGGAGCAGAGCTGAGAACTTCCTAGTGCCCGGATAGAGAGACCTGCCCGTAACACCGGCAGCTGAAGGCGTTGCTGTAGCTTCTCCTAACAGAACCAGGAGGAAGGTGCCCGAGATCCTCGTGTTCCACCAGCCTTCACAGCTTTCTGCCTGCCGGCACATGGGACAACTACACATCCTAGTTACCTTGGGATGGGGGAGCACGTGAGTTCTCCACCAAAGCATTTAGTTCCTGATGCAAGACCCTCCCAGAGCTCTGCTTTCTGGCAGTGTAATTCTGTTAGTCTGGATCCCTGAGTGACTGTTCTGAGCAGAGTCCCCCTGCTGGTCCACAACGGACATTTGGCTTTGGTGAGAAATCAACCTTTGTGGCCTTAGGGCACTGACGATCCATAATGTTTACCCACTTTTCTCCCTGGTGAACCTGCTGGGTCCTCACCAGCACTCTTACTTTCCTCTCTCCAGCAATCTCTTTCCCAGTGTATTTAGCACATTCAAAGGCAACTAACATGTGTCTAGCACCTACTACAAGGCGGGCACTGTGTGCTGAGGATGCAAAGGCTGGGCATCCCACCAGGAGCCTGGAGGTCCAGGACAGCATGGCAGATGCTATGAGTGGCAGGCAGGCAGCAGGGAGGAAGGTGATCAAGAAGTGCTTGCTAGAAGGGTTGCCTGACCAGACTCTAGAAAGAGGGGAGTTAGGCAGAGGAGAGGGGGCTGGGGGAATGGAATTACAGACTGTGGGCACATGTGCAGAGGCACAGAAGCATAAGAAGAGCCAGACTGAGGCTGAGAAAAGGGAGAGAGGCAGAGGTGGCCTGGAGCCATGTGCGTGACAGATCAAGTTTCCTTGAGTGTCCTCTGTGAGGTCACATCCTCTGTGTGGACAAAGTGAAGCAATGTCTTGTCTGTGTCCCAGCCGAGCAGCACAGCCAGTTTCACCCGGGAAGGTGCAGGGGGCTGGCGGGCTCCAGAGGGAAGAGGAAGTCTGTAAAAGCCCCTACCACATGTTCCCAAGTGGCTCTGAGGAGTCCTAGAAATAGAAGTGGCAATCCAAGGGTAGTGCAAGGACCAGAGGTGGAAGAGGGCGGCCCTTGACAGCAGCTGTCAGAAAGGAAATCTCACGTGACTTCTAAAAAGAGGCTGAGTGTATAGTGGGAAGGGCAGGGGCTAGCTCCATCGCGGCGGAGGTATGGGTTCAGACTCTACCACCTACTGTAGGTGACCCTGAGCAAGTCACTCAAGGTTCCTCATAAGGCTGGTTTGAAAGCAAAATGAGATGAAGCTCCTGGCACCTGGTCTGCCCTGAAGAGGTATTAGTTGCTTTTGATGCCCCTACAGGGCCTGCCCAGTGCCTTAAAGGGGAGGGACTAGGGTGCTGGTGGGGGTGTATATGGAAGAGGCTGAGGGCATTGCCAGGCAATATGTCTTTGCTGTGCTCAGTCACAAGGGTGAAGGGCTGAGCGATAAGGTCTCGGAGCCCGGCTCCTTGTCACCTTCAGGAGTCATCTCTGGCCAGGAGCTTTGGGTGTGGAAGGAGGGTCAAACACTGCAGCCAGGCCTGCTGCTATGGCCCCAAGCACTGGGACAAGCTGGGGGGCAGCATCCAGGCCACTGAAGGAAGTCAGCGCCTGTGCCAGCATCACCTCTCTTCGAGGAAAAGCAAGTATTTCACTCATTGTCTTCACTCTTCAAACCTCCTCCACACCATTCCCTCCCACGCTGTCAGCTAGGGACTTTGTCTTAAACCTCGCTGAGATAAAAGAAGCAATCAGAAGGGAGTTCCCTCATTTCCTCTCTCACATCCACTGCCTGCTCTGTCTGCACTCACCGGTCTTCCCTCCCACGTGACAGCAGGAACTGCCTCTCCTCGAGCCTCTTCTAGTGGCCATGGCCGACCCTCCCGCTTGTGCCCTGTAGCTCCCTCTCTCCTCTCCTGCACCTTCATTCTTCCTGTTCTACTGCATCCTGCCCACCCCATCGAGCAAATGTGCCTCTGTGCTGTCCGTATTACCCTTGTCTCTCCATGTTCCCCATTCAATGAGCTGTCGAGTTACTGCCTCTTACCTTCCCATTTCCCGCCTAACCCACTCCAGTTGGACTCATTCCCCATCCGCTGAAAATGCTCTTGTCCAGATCACCAATGATTCCCTTTCTACACCAGCCTCACCTTACCCCACTGGCATTCAACAGCAGATTCCCCGCTTTGTTGAAGCATTGCCATCTCCTGCTGTCTGTGACCTTGTGCTCTCCCAACCACCTACCTCATTGCTACTTGCTCATTCTGCCTTCTTCGCTAGCCCCCTTCCTCTCCTGCATTTTCTTTTCTGAGACTGAGTTTCGCTCTTGTTGCCCAGGCTGGAGTGCAATGGCACGATCTCAGCTCACTGCAACCTCTGCGTCCCAGGTTCAAGCAATTCTCCTGCCTCAGCCTCTCAAGTAGCTGAGATTACAGGCACCCACCACCACACACACATTTTTGTATTTTTAGTAGAGATGAGGTTTCTCCATGTTGGTCAGGCTGGTCTCGAACTCCTGACCTCAGGTGATCAGCCTGCCTTGGCCTCCCAAAGTGCTAGGATTACTGGCATGAGCCACCGTGCCTGGCCCCTCTACTGCGTTTCTAATGATCAGGACCTTCTCTTTTTTGATCTCCATGCTCTTCCCAGGAATCTAGGTTCGAATAAATCTATAATGTAATAGCTCCTAATAGGTTTTTAGGTATTCTCTCTCTTCAAAACTCCAGATTCATACATCTCAGGGTCTACCTGATATTTCCACTTAGATGTCTACCAGTCATTTAAGCCTTGCCAGATCAAGCAGAATTCTTCATTTCTGGAACAACTCCTATCACAGTTTCATTTTCAGAGTGATACTTATTTTGCTTTACATCCTCCCTGATTAGAAAGCTCCATTACCTGTTTTTTTTCTGTTCAATACTATATGTCAGTGCTTGCACAGAAAGAGGCTTAATGTTTGCTGACTGACTAAATGAGTTTCTTTGGTGTATCTAATATACCAAGGCTGCTAACTCGTGAGTAAAAGGAAACATCATATACCTATGAATTTAAACCAGGGCTTTCCAGTCTTTTGGCTTCTCTGAGCCACCTTGGAAGAACTGTCTTGGGCCACACATAAAATACACTAACATTAATGATAGCTGATGAACTAAAAGAAAAAATTTGCAAAAAAACCCTCATGTTTTAAGAAAGTTTATGAATTTGTGTTGGGCTGCATGTTGGACAAGTTTGATATAAACATTTAGATTAGATAATCTTAAAAGACTGTTTCCTAAGTTCACATACATCTGGTCTCCATTTTCAGATCCTATCTGCATGGAATGGGCTTGTGTTTTGACAGTGTCATTGCCACTAGTTTCCATGCAGCCCCCACAGGATGTATGAGATAGAGGACCACGTATGGATAACGAAGACCTAAAAGGCATAGCCCGCCTTTGCCTCAGGACCCTCTGAAAAGGGGCTCTTTGGTCCCCTGCTCACGGCCTATGAACTGCCTCCATGTCACAGTTATTATGGGGTGCTCCTGGCCATCCCCATTCTCCCTGCACTCAGGGAGTAAGAACTCATTCCTACCGCAGGGCGGCACAGCGGCCTTGGCTTTGACTTACCTGAGGCAAAGTGCCCAGCAAGAGCAGCTCAAGATGCAGCTTTTCCTTGAAAGCAGGGGAAGGGAAGAGACAGTAGGTTGAAAGGACATGGCAGAGTTGAGTAAGATTTATAATAACAGATGGGGCGACAGACCTAATAAGGGGTTGTGAAGTGTCCTGTCTAGAGCTGGGGGTAGGATTCCTTGCATTACCACTGAACACAGGGTACCCACTTGGAAAGGCTGATCCATCCCCAGGGGCAGCTGGTATTAGAACAGCCTGTTACAAGTAAGTGTGGGCCCTAGGAGCATTAGGATTTGTTTGAAGTTGTTACTTTTGAATAACTTCACCCTTGAACTTAAGGTCTGCTAGATTCACAATCTGTAGAAGAAAAACATCACCTGTGTCCCCCACTCCCACCAAC